GTTAAACTAACCTTTACATTTAAATTTCTAATATTTATCCCCAAATTTTAGCTAAGGGAACTAAATCCCAAACAGCCAATGCATTTTTGATATGCCAGATAACTTGATAACAGTGTAAACAGCGTTATGCATTTTAAAATACTATATTTAAAAATACCAGATTTTCTAATTTTCAAGTTAAAGAATGCTTAAAAAGCCTTTTAAAACAATGTGAAGGTTCTTTAAAATTTTTGGTAATGTCCCACCTCATAACCTTTTGAATTTTAAACTTAAAACTCACCCAATTGTCACAGCATGCTGACAATTCTTATCTTGAACATGTTCACACGCATACAACACACTCACACAGATCTTAAAGTGCACAAAAGTTAAAATAAATTGTACATACATTTTCTAAAATCTACAGATAACAAATATTTAAGACAAGATTTTCTTTTCTTTTTAACAAAGTACCTTTGTTGAGCTTCATTTTCCCAGGGCTTGCTTGTTTAGCAAGGCATTTCACAAATTGATCTTTTGAATACCTTTAGTTGGAGGAAGGCTGATGGGGGGGGGGGGGGGGAGGAAGGGATGGGGGTGTTGTCACCTGAAACTAAACAGAACCAGCTGAATATCTCTGAACAAGGCTCACAGCAGTCTACACCCTCCCCTCAGGTAGCTTCAACAGGAAGAAAATTCAGCCTGAGGCTTGAAGGGGACCAAACTAGTCCAGCAACTTTCCAGGCCTCACAGGGAGGGGGAGATAGCAGGTCTGTGACCTAGCCTAGATGGAGGCTGGAACTTTTATTCCCTCAGAGATGTTCAAGTAAATAACAAAATACAAATAAACACAAAAACCAAGGATCCACATTTAAAACTGGTACCAATTCTAAAACAGGATAAGATAAGAAACAGAAGCTGAGTTGGGGACTAATGGTTCCCAGTTCATCCCTACCAGAATCCCTGTGCTGCTCCCACTCAGCAAGCTGAATCCAGAGTCTGCTGAGTGAGCCTACCACTCTCACCCAGAACTTCCCTACCCCAAAAAACATAAACACACACACTAAAGTAAACAAGACAAACAAGTGGCCACAAAGACAAAATCAGGTCTCAGTGCATGGGGCGATATCTCATCACCATTCACTTACCAGGGGACTTGACCCCCCCCCACCACTAACCTCCAGAGCATTTTTCTTTTAGATTCCTGCAAACGTTGACCCAGGGGCCTTCCAAGGCAGAGGAGAATTCCCAGTCATCTTGGGGCAAGGGAAAGAAGGGAAAGAAGTCCCTAGCAGCCATCCCCTCAAACTGGCAGGTTGTCCCCCATGCTCAGCCAAGGGCTGAGGCTAACATCTTGCTGGGGCCACTTGCAGGTAGTCAGTGGCAGTTTCATAACAAGCAAGTTACAAAAGCAGAACTAGCAGGGTTTTTTTGTTTGTTTGTTTGTTTTGAAATATTTAAAATAGGACAAGGTCTAGGGGTGTCCTGGGAGTGGACTCACTTTGCCCCATATTTTTCCTGTAAAGTAAATCCAATTACAAACATGGCAAGCAAAAGCACAATGAGACACAGACAGACACAATTATACAGAGAACAAGAGGGATCCAAAACCAAAAGTTACTGTTTTCTCCACCTATTTTCTCCACAAGCAAGCCCCCATCCAACTAGGACTGCTAGGACTGGTGGAATTGAGGGCTCCAGGTGTCCCTAGATCTCCTCAATCATAGGGGACTCTGCTGCATTCAGCCTCACCCTACTTTTGGCCTCACTCTGGTGCCTTCTCTACCTAGGTCGACCATGCTTACCTCGAGGCTTTTCTCGGAACTTCTCTCCAACCACCGAGTGCCTGCACACTGTCCTCCCGGCCAGGGACTTCAATTCCCCTCAGGTTGGAGTTGCTAAGAGCTCTATCCCAGACGAGCCCCCAATAAATGTAGTAGGAAGACCCCTAATCAGGCAGGCATGTCCACCTAGTCATCCAGAGTGACAGAGCCCACAACAACAAAGTTGTTGATAAAGGAGCAACTTTATTGAGAAGGTTCCTACACTGACTTGCCAGGGCCACAGCAAAGGCTCGGGAGCTGATACTGCGACCTGAGCAGCCCCCATTCTTTAGTTTCTAATGGCAAAATCCATGATGTCAAGCCTGGTCACATGCAGGTGACCAATGGGGTCATACCAGACCACACACAGGTGGGCAATAGGCAGAGTTTACCGTAGCATGTGCAAAGGGCAGGGTTTACCTTAAGCACATGGTGTGGTCAGTGGGAGCTAGATTATTACCTATCTGTTTTAGGGGTCAGTCCTTAACTGTACAATCAATATGGGTTAGGTTGTTAAGGAGAGGGGGACCTAGAGGCATTCTTTCCATTCTAGGAACTGGGATGGTTGGAGCCAAGGTGTTTAAAGATTTCTTTTTTCTAAAATCCCTAAAATACAGGCAAAGCCTGGAAAGAAGCTGTCCCAGCTCAAGTCCCCTCTCTGGGCCTACTTCAATTTTGGTAAATTGTCCTGGGCTATTGTCTAAACAGTCTTGAAAACCAATGAGGCCAAAGCCTGCCAAGCCTATTGAATGTATCCTTAACTAGTCTGTGTAGCATTTGGAGCCCAGCATGAGGTGTGACAGTCCTTTGGAGCCACTGAAAAGACCTTGCTGCTGCTACAGCCTGACAGTAACCTGGGGGAAATCTACATTGTTACTCTGATGACCTCCACTGTGGAAAAAGTAGACTGAACTCCTGCATGATTCCATCCCAATGGAAAAACTGAGTCAATGATTCAACTCAGGAACAAGTCAAAGGGGGCAGTGAAGTACGCCCTGAGGGTAGACTTGAGCTGGTACAGCTTCTTTCCAGGCTTTGCCTTTGTTTTAGGGATTTTAGAAAAAACTTTAAACAAGATTAACAAGATCTTGGCTCCAACCAGCCCAGTTCCTAGAATGGAAAGAATGCCTCTAGGTCCCCCTCCCCTTAACAACCTAACTCACCTTGATTGTTCAGTTAAGGACTGACCAATAAAACAGATAGGTTGTAATCAGGCTCCAACTGGTGACACCATGTGCTTAAGGTAAACCCTGCCTTTTGCACATGCTTATGGTAAACTCTGCCTATTGGCCACCTGTGTGTGGTCTGGTATGAGCCCATTGGTCACCTACATGTGACCAGGCTTGAGCTCATGGATTTTGCCATTAAAAACTGAAGAATTGGGGTCACTCAGTGTCGCAGTATCTGCTCCCGAGTCTGTGCTGCGGCCCTGGCAGGTCAGTGAAGGAACCTTCTCAATAAAGTTGCTTCTTTATTAACAACTTTGTTGCAGTGGGCTCTGTCACTCCAGACAACTTGGTGGGCTTGCCTGCCTGGGTAGGGGTCTTCCTACAACAAGGGTTGTCTTGTTCTTGCCTATGGGAGTCAGATAGTTTGATGGGCACTGAGTCCACTAGGTCCAGCATTTTTTCTCTTCTGCCATAGTTGGTATCTCCTTGATTCTTACTTCTTTGTTTCTCAGATATGGGCTTTCACATGGTATCTGGAAGATATGCCCTTATCTACTAAACCTTTATTCTACTAAACCCTGATTTTAAACAATCCTATCTGACTAGACTTTGGGTCATTGAGCAGGACTCTGTAAGTGGGCCAGGCATGGCTCCTTTGTATAAGGGAAAAAAAAATGGAGGGGTTTGGAGGCTAATGTAGAAGGGAGAAGGAAAGAAATACCTTGGAAATTTGTTAGTGGATATTTGTAGTTCTTACCTCTCTTCCTTTTACACTTTAATTTTGTTTTGGAGAATTAATCTGACCTCTTTGGGCCTAGTCTTGTTCAGTTCAGATTTTTATTGAATGCGGCAGGTGAGGGGGTAATGGTAGAAGGTTGGATAAATGAAAAAGGGAATGAACAATGAATGAATACAGTCATAATACCCAATACATGTATGTGAAAAACAAAGTTGGAATCTTGATGTGACTGGGAAGAGAAGGGGGAAATAACAGAAGGGGCATCTCTGATTTAGGGTGTACTGTATGCAAAAACAGATGTTTTAAGTTGTACCCTCTTTGTACAACCATTTCAAAATCTAAGAAAATAAAAAGTTGAAGCCAGATGCTTGTGGCTCATGCCTGTAATCTTAGCTACTCAGGAGGCTGAGATCAGAGGATAGTGGTTCAAAGCCAGCCAGGGCAGGAAAAGTCCGTGAGACTCTTCTCTCCAATTAATCCCATAAAAGCCAGAAGTGGTGCTGTAAAGTGATAGCCTTGTGTAAAAATTGCTTAGGGACAGCACCCAGGCCCAGAGTTCAAGGCCTAGAACCTGCAAAACAAAAGTTTAAAAAGAGATTTCCATTTATGTATACTCTCAAAAGAATATGTATGATTTGAGGTAGGCTAGTCAGATGCTTTTAGGACTAAAATCCTGGGCAGAGCATTATAGACACTGAAAATAGGTGTCTCCCATGTAGGTAGTGGGAGTTAAGACTTTATTATTTATGTATTTAATTAATTAATTTATAGACCCTCACAATGGTGCACAGGCTGGACTCATGTGATCTGCCTGTAATTAGGTTGACAGATATCTTTTACAATGTCCAGCTTCAAAATATTATTTTTAATGGTTATATAACATTATTGACTTATTAGACATAAATGTTACCCAGTGGTATATAGAGCCCACATAAATACTCAACATCCATTACCACTCTTTCTGATTACTGGTTGATTTCTAGGAGAAAATAATGAAGTTGCTTTTTTTTTTTCAAACAGTCCAGGTTGGAGATTTCTCATTGAATTTATCATTCTAGAAAAGGTGCATTAAGCAAATATGATCTTCAATCCAACAGGTCTGCAAATCTACTTCCAATAAGAGGCTATACTAGGAGAATTTGCATAATAGTCCTTTTTTCCCATTTTATCAATATATCTTGTTCTTTATCCTTGGACCAAGGTCACAATGTATGCTAATGGGGACTTTATCTTTCCATGCACTTGACTATGAAAATCTTTCCTCAGCAGATTTCAAGAAGTGTTGAGAAATCTAAGTCCAACTGGGAGGAAGGGGTAAAGGAGCAACATTGCAAATAGTTGTTTGCTTTCCTGAGATGGAAACACACTGTTGATTAGTAGAATCAGGTAAGAATGACTGTTTTGTTTTCTTTCTTGAAGAGGGAGGGAGAAAGAAATCATGTATCATTCTATTGTTTCAGACTTCTTGACAAAATCCTAAAGCTTTATCTCATTTTAATATTTTGGGAAATGATGGCAAATTGTTACTTTCTATGAAAATAGAGACTTCAGTGAGATATGGAAAATGGCCAGCTATTGTGTCAATAGAGCCTCTTCATTGATTATAGGATTATGACACATTAAGTAAGAACCATTATGAAATGTATAGTTACTTAAGATATAATCATGAGTTTAGCACTTTTAGGTACATTTACATTCTGAAGACAACTCTCTGTTTTAGTACTCAAATTGAGATTTTAATAATCAGAAAGTAAATTGGTACTAATCAAGATTTTGATTTCCTTAAATGTGGTGGTAAAATTAGCTAAAGTGGTTTAAAAAGCATGTTTAAGTCTTGGCAGTTATTCTGACAGTGAAGGTAAAATGGTGAAACATGAGGTAGGTCATTTTAAGTCCAGGAGGAGGAAACTGTAATGTTAAATCAATTACTTTTTTTGTCTATTGGAGAAGATTGGCAGTGATAATCTATTTGGAAGATCACAAGGAGCCTTGCCTCTATACCATACATACATACATTCATACATATACATACATATATATATATACACACATATATATATATATGTGTGTGTGTGTATTTTACCATCAATGTTTCATACATGAGCTTCTACTATGTGCTCATCTTTAGGTACACAGTCCCAGCTCTTGGTATGGGATGTACAATTGTTAATCATTGCATGGAAGCTTACAGAAAATAAAGCTTTAAGCATGAACTCAGTATAATGTGCCTGAAATTTGCTCTTGAACTAGCAGCTAATGACTAGTAAATCTCTTTAGATATAAGAATTTTAGAGGGACATGGTTCCTGTGGTTCCTGATTCCTAGGACTGGTAGTAGACGTTGACAACAAGACTCAGACCTAACTACTTTTGCTCTAGATTTGAGGTTGTCCTTAATGCTGATAGTGAAGGTAAACCTGATGGGAAATAAAGATAGATTCTCAGTAACAAGGAAGTGTGGGAAGATATTCCAGTCTTTCTGTCTACTTCCAATTCTACGTTATCTTTGAAGTGTTTGCTATTATATTGATACACTTAACCTTTAGCCTATGGATTGCAAAATCAAATTCCCACAAAGGCCAAGCATTAATTTAGCTCATTAAGGTACCCTGGGTAGGAATGACCAGGTTGGCAAATCCTTGCCACATAAAAGACACTACTACTGCCCTGTTTTTCTGAATTAAAAAAAGAAAAGGTGATTTCATAAGTATCGATTATCTTTGTAGAAAAGTAACCAAATGCTGTCATCTTGTTATCTTGAAACAAAACAGCTTTGTCTTCATTCCTCTGGCCATACTAAGTGCATATTTTTGTTACTATTTTGTATTTTTTCACAGGTTCTTAAGCCATAAGCCATTCATTTTGAGGAAAAATTCTAAGACTGAAGTCCATATTATTGCTCAGGTTTCTGGAGAACAGAGTATTGACTGTTTTGAAGCCTAATGAAATGTGCTAATATGTGAATATTTATTATATCCCAGAAAAAAATTTGAATATTTTAAATCCCAGTACAACTTGTATTATCTCATTTTTATAGAAATGCTGGACATATGTACTAAAATTATCATCGGATGACTTTTTGGAGATAGTAAAACTGAGGCTCATATTTAGAGGAAGATTTCCCAAGGTTTCCTAATAAATAGTAGAAATCTGATTTAAACTGTGGAGTCAATTTCTAACGGCAGTATCATACTTCTCATTATTTTCTATTGGTTATTCAATTCTGTGGGCCCTTTAGGTGCTGATATAGAATACACTAAGACATCTGTAAAAATAATTATTGTATACTGTTTGTAAAATATGTGTCATTGTTCTAATCACTGAAAGGAAAGGTTTACTAATGCCTAGCTCAAGGCCACAGATGCCCAGTACCCTTTGCCCATGCCCTTTTCTAACCATCCAGATGGTAATTGAAAGTTAAAACATAATATTTAAAGACAACAGCAAGTGTTTCACTTCCATTACATGACCAGGATCACACCCAGAGAGCAACAGCTGTAATCACAGCCAACATTCTCCCAAGTACAAGCAGCACTTGTTTTAATCATCCTTAGTAACAGAACCACTCCTATGTATAGACTCATAGCCAGTATCATTGTCTTAAATGAAAGTAGAATGATATAGTCACGAAATAGAAATTGATTTCACTGTAGCCAAGTTATAGGTGGTGTTTGCCAGGAGGGACATGATTGCTGAGGGTTTGGAAATCACATCTGAGCTTTATAAAGGATGTCATCATTCACTGGTTGGTATACCATGGATTTGGCACATGGAACCATGAGCTAGGCTTGCCATTCTTGAAACGTGTACTCATAGGAAAGAGCTAAGGTAGCTTAGCCTCAGGCAGCTTGAAGCATGCACATTTTAATTCATGATTATGTCTTTCTTTTTCTCTTCCCATATTTCTTCCATCTCTTTACTTCACCTCAAGAAAAATGGCTAAGCGCACCTTTTCCCCCTTAGAGATATTCCTGATTTTCCTCCTTGTGATGATGACTGCCATCACAGTAGCGCTTCTCAGCCTCTTGTTTGTCACCAGTGGGACCATCGAGAACCGCAAAGGTAAGTGTCATGGATTTCATTGGATGAGATCCCTAGGCTTGAAGGAAATTTCTTGATGACCAGGGGAATACCAAGATGAGCAAGTGTTGGCTGATAGTTCAATGTGTATGTAAACAGCCTGAGATGGCCCTCTCCCTCTTACATTAATTACTTTGACTGAATTGATTGCAGTTTTTTTTTTTTTTTATCACATCTACCTTTGTCCCCCAAATACCCAGTCCACAGATACAGGCATGTATTTGCCTTCATCTTCCAAAGCTCAGGAACCTAAGCTCTAATCCTGTTCTTTGCTTTATTTTTGGCATCATGGTCTCTAGGGAGCAAAAGCAGAAAGGAAGGCCCACGGGAAGTCACTTAGTCTGTGCAAAACTCTAGGGAAGGGCATCTCAAATTCAAGACCTTCCAAGGGCCTATCAGGCTCTGTGAACATGGAGTGGATAGGCTCCAGCATAGAGTGGGAACAGAGGGAATTCTGGTACAGGAGACCTCATCTTCTCCTCAGTGCTTGTTGTCATGATGTTATGTAGTCTTCAGACCTTCCAAGTTTTCAACAAACAAACAGCAACAAAAATGGAACTTGGGGTTATCTTTTGGTTGTTTGGTGTTTTGTTTTGTTTTTAATGTAATATTGGAATCAGGTTTAGCTCTGGAAAGCTGTGAAGACTACAAAAGCTGTGGGCAACCAATGGGTCTTTAGTGGAGCCTCAGTTTCAGTGTTAGGATGTGTAACTGTTAACTGAATGGAAAAGCAGGAGATTGCATGCTGTAACCAAAGTAAAGGGAGAGGTGGCTTCAGACAAAATGGGAAAGGAGATGGAATCTTTCATTTCACTTTTTCCTTTTGTAGACTCTTCTCTTTTCCAGCCTATTCTTTATTTTGTTCTGGTGCTTTGAATTATCTGTGGATACAGAGGAAGAGAGATTCCCCTGTTTCAGAGGAAGAGAGATTCCCCTGTTTCAGAGGAAGAGAGATTCCCCTGTTTCAGCAGTGGGCAGAGCAGGAACTAAAATGCTAGAAATGAAGAGTTCCTTAGGAATTACTTGGTTTTAGCTTTTAAAATTAGAGAACTAGAAAGCACATTCAGAGAGGTTATTAAGAATTATAATAACTAGTCTCATAGAAGTACCTACTGTATATTGAATGTATGTGTGTGTATGTATGTGTAGCAGCACTGTAAGGATTCTAGTATTTTTTTTCATCTAATTCTCACAAAGTACCTTTAAAGTAAGTCATACTCATAGTGATTTTCATATATGGGGAACCTGAGACCCCAGATAGCCAAGAACTTGTCCTTGAATGTGTGCTAATATGGCTTTAGCTGCTATCATATTCCTGCATTGCTGCTCACATGTTGCTTTCTATTTGACTTTTATCTGGAGTAGAAACAAAGAAATACCCCCCCACATACACATGTGTGTGTGTGTGTGTGTGTGTGTGTGTGTGTGTGTGTATCAAAATATGTGAAGAGAATCAAAGCTCTATACAAGTCATTGTTTCAAATTTTAATATTTATATTAACACAGTTATTTGAGACCTACCCTAGGAAGCCATTAGGTAGAAAAGAAAATGAGGTAAATTAGCTTAAGTAACTGATAGAGTCAGATTTTAAACCCCAATACGTTGTTTCTGGCACCTGCTCCTTAATCTCTGTTATTCTGGCTCCTTTGAGGTTCATATATGTTTGAATATCATAAATAAGCATTTATACACCCACATTTACATAGATCATATACATATAAATACACATATACAGTATAAGGATAATTCAAAGCAAGGTGACTATGTTAAATCACTATTCAGACATTTAATTTGTATTAATAAAAGGTTTTAGAAAGTAGAAAAGTGCTACATCAGGGCAAAGAAAAATGGGTAGTATCCTGGAGATAAAGAGTTGAGGTGGGTCTAGGTATGATGGAGGTGGATCATTTTGAAAGCAGTAGTAGAGAGGTCTGAGTGGAGAGAATGAAAGAAAGAATCACTCAGAGGTTGGGTTTGGTTGTTTGAGTGGTAGGAATCTGCTACATGTTTTGCGTAGCTGACACAGAAATGCAAAAAAAGTGAGCCAAATAGATGGGTATGACTAGGAAGTCTGGTAGGGAAAAGCTGAGGGACATTCCCAAGGGCCTTGAATGTTAGTCTGAAATATCTCTGGTCAAGGAAAAGAATCTGCTTAGATTTATGGTTCCAGACACTTCCTGTTTCTCATTCTATCTGTTGTACATATGAGAATATATCACAATTTTTCCATTGGAACCAAGTTGAATCTAGACAAAGAAACATGAAAATGTTTCTTCTCCAATACCTTATTCTGTTTTAGATTCAGGAGATCATGGTTTGTTAACCACCCAGGATCCCATAGACACTCAAACCACTCCCGTGATTAGTACCCCGGAGCCTCCTCTATTTCAGAACTTCAGTGGCTACCATATAGGTGTTGGGCGAGCTGACTGCACCGGACAAGTATCAGATATTCTTTTGGTAAGTAAATGCTGGGCTCTTTAAGGAGACTGCTAAATAATTGGCATCATTTTGGGTCCTCTGTTTGTTCTGTATTATTATAACTACCTACTGTTGTGTGTGTATATGTGTTTGTGTTTTCAGTAATACTAGGGTTTGAACTCAGGGCCTTGAGCTTGCTATGCATGTACTCTACCACTTGTGGCATGTCCCCAACATGTATTTTCTTGTTTCTGTTTTTTACATTTTTTTTTGTTGGTCATGGGGCTTGAACTCTGGGCTTGGGCGCTGTCCCTCAGCTCTTTAATCAAGGCGATTGCTCTACCACTTGTGCCACAGTGCCATTTCTGGTTTTCTAGTAGTCAATTGGAGATAAGAGTCTCACAGACTTTGCTGCCCAAGCTGGCTTTGAACCATGATCCTCAGATCTCAGCCTCCTGGGTAGCTAGGATTATAGGTGTGAGCCTAGCTTCCTTTTTTAAGTTATTTTACAGATAGGATCTCATGCTTTTTGCTTAAGGCTGCCTTGGACCATGATCCTCCTGCCTTTTGCAGCTTATGTAGATGGGATTATAGGAATGAGCTATCATACCTGGCCATGCCTTCTAGTTTCTCTAATATCTTTGTAACAATCTAGGACTAGGAATATCATTCTTCAAGAAAAAGAAGCTTTTATTTCATTGTGCCTCCTATGTTGCCAATTAGTTATATTTTATGGGTGGAAATGTGGGTTCGTGGCTTCCTTGTCTTATAGTTTTGTCAATAGAAGCCAATTAAACATCTCATTTCAAAATAGAGATGCAACTGTGATTACAACTGGGCTAACATCATGTCAGCCAATAAAATCCTTCATGGGGCAGGGTGTTCTGTTGACTGCTGGCATGGGAATTGTTGGCTATGGTGGTAAAAATGCACATTTATGTAACACTTCCTTACAGAACCAGCACATGAACTTGTCCACTAAAGGTTAATACCTTCTGCTAAAGAATCTTTATATTCTAAGGATTAATTCCAGCTATTTGGTTTTGTTTTGTTTTGTTTTTTTGTTTTTTGTTTTTTTGGTTCCGGTCGTGGGGCCTGAACTCTGGGCCTGGGCACTGTCCCTCAGCTCTTCAGCTCAAGGCTAGCACTCTACCACTTGAGCCACAGTGCCACTTCCGGCTTTCTTTTCTGCTTATGTGGTGCTGAAGAATCGAACCCAGGGCCTCGAGCATGCAAGGCAAGCGCTCTACCACTGAGCCACCTTCCCAGCCCAATTCTAGCTATTTGGAATGTGCAACCTACATCAATGATCTCATGAAGGAGAGAACGAACAGCCCAGGGGGCATTCTGAAGATTTGGGTGTAGATTCTTGTTGACAAAAAAAAAAAAGAGCAACAAACGAAAGGAATATGAAAACTATAGAAAGAAACAACCCATACGGGGATAACTCTAATCTTTAGAATGTTCCCATCTGCAATGTGAGATAATTTATAGGGAGAAGTACTTCCTTCTTTTTAATAACGTAGAAAGAAAGTTTCCATGTCCATGAAAAAAAAAGTTCCTAAAGATCTCCAGAAATGAGATTTCTGAGCCACCTGAGCTTCTTTATTGCCCAATCCCAGTGAATACCTTCTCACTACTGGATCAGTCCTTCACCTTTCCTTTTTTCTGCAGATTGATTAAGGCCTCTACTATGATTCTTAATTTATTTATATTTTTGAAAACATACCATACATCATCTCAGTCACAGAGATGTGTGGATTTTCCTTTGTATGTCTGAAGAAATCTACTCTTCTTTGTTTGGGCCTGGTTTTTGGTATTTGGGTGAGATAGATGGCTCTAAGTTTTTCTTTCTCTTTAGATGGGCTATGCCAAAAGTGGCCAGTATGCACGGGGTCTCCTCACAAGGCTGTATAGCCGGGCTGTCATCCTGGCAGAACCAGATGGATCAAATCGAATTGTGTTTGTCAGTGTTGAATTAGGCATGATGTCACAACGACTCAGGCTGGAGGTAAGCAGTTGATGGAGAGAAAGAAATTGTGATTTAATGTAAAGTCTGTGGATGAATGTGATGGGAACTACTTCTTGACAGTTTAGTAGGCCATGGTATATGAATGGTCATTATTACAATCCAAGTGATCTTGATCAAACTTTGCTTTTAGTTCTGCAGATCACTCATCATCATTTTGAATGCTAGTGGTTCTTTGAAAGCTTATTATGTATCATGTGACCTTTATATATGCTCTCTCATTTAATCATCCAGGTTAGATATTTGAGAGTGAAATAAATCACTAATCTTTCCTTTAGCCTCTCCAGCCATTGAGAATAGATAGAAGGAATCTGAGGAAAATGAAACAAGATGAATCAGATGAAACAAGATTGACTAGGAGTTGGTCACTGTAGAAACTGGGTAACAAGGTGGTTCATTATATTATTCTAGTTATTAAAATTTCTGTAACAGTAATTTAAAAAAGATCTTAATCTTCATACTTCATTATAGAATATGATTTGTACGATTTCTCTTAAATTTCTCATTACTCACCAAAGAGGATATTTGGCCTTAAGAGAAAGATAGGTGGAAAATATACCTAGGAATATGTACGGAGCAGAAAAAGAAAGAGAAGGAAGAGGAAAGAGGAAGTGAGGAAGTGAGAAATACAGGTATTGTGGGAAAGAGAGGAAGCAGAATAAAATGATAGGCATGTATTGCCATGTCTTTCTCTAAGGCAGTGTTGAAGCCTTGTTTCAGTTCTATTTTCTGGAGAGGATCAGGTCACAATGAGCAAATGCACCCTGTTAATATCTTCTTACATATTTTGAAATGTGAGAAACAAGAGGCTGGAACACTGACTAAAACAATAACAGTCAATGTAGGTCATTCAGTATTACGTTAGCTTCACCCAGGTATGTTTTTTTGATGCTACTATTTGGAAGAGCTGGTAGGAGACAAGATGACCTAAAGATACTACTCTCTCAGCCAGGCTCCAGTGGCTCATGACTGTAATCCTAGCTACTCAGGAGGCTGACATCTGAGGATCATGGTTCAAAGCCAGCCCAGGCAGGAAAGTCTGTGAGACTCCAATAAACCACTAGAAAACTGGAAGTGGCGCTGTGGCTCAAGTGATAGAGTGCTCGCCTTGAGTTGAAGAGCTGAGGGACAGCACCCAGGCCCAGAGTTCAACCCCACAACTGAAAAAAAAAAAAGATACTACTCTCTCTTGGGAGTGGAGTGGAAGTCTCTCCCATCTGAAGAAGTGAGAGACTCCGTCATTAAGTATGTGTCTCTCTCCTATGTTTGCAACAAAACCTAGAGGTGGCTCTAGGTTTAGTCCTCTATCATGAAAAAGGTAACTGAACCATAGAGAAGATAATACACTTTCCAAAATGCAGGCTGTTAGCAATTGGTAGAACTAGGTTCTGAATACATGTGTGCTTGAGCCCATAGTCCACATTCTTCAAAGAGACATGATTCTTTTAGAGGGATGAAATGCCTGAATCACTTCTTTTATTATAAGGAACTTTGCCAGATCTAGCAGAAGCTACAAAACCAAGGGAATCAGGAATCCACATCTTCTGTGAGGCTTTTGTGTTGAGACTTAGGAACACATATGTAGTCATAACCCACAGGAGTATAATGGCATATTAGTTATCTATTCCTGTGTAATAATTATCTGCCTCCAAATAGAGAGGCTTACAATATCAAAAATATTATTCTACAAAGGCATATGAATTAGGAATTCAGAACTGGCTTGGCTAAGAGTTTTGTTGTAGGTTGTCTCTCTGTCGAGGTGAAGGCAAAGAATGCAGACATCTGAAGGCTTGACTTCGGCTGCAGGATCCAATTCTAAGATAGTTCCCTCCTATGGTTGTTCCCTCAGAGGGAATCACTCAGGAAAACGAGTAAGGAGGAAGCCACAGTGCCTTTTCTGACCCACTTTCAGAAATTACACACCATTACTCTTGCTCTATTTCTCCAGTCACTAGGCCCCACATACATGTAATGGTAAGAAAATTTAACCCCTAGCATTTTAAAGGGAGAGATTTCAAATCATTTGTGGACATATAGTCTTTTAAGATCATCACAAAGGGAAACAAGAAATAAAAAGGAAGATTTTCATGGCAGAAATAATACTGGAGTGTGAAGAATTTTAAATTAGCAAATATTGGAGAGGATGAGATTAAATAGAAGAGGTTATAAACACAGAGTTGCAAAGGAGGAATGTAAACTTTTTTGATGGGATAGAGGAGTTATATTAGGACAAAGATGTATGGAATTGGAGATGTGTATGAATGATGTATTGCTCATAATTGTGCAGACTCTGTGATTCCAGGTTTTTTGTTTTTGTTTTTGTTTTTACAGTATGCTGGGTAATGTGGAGTCTTGAAAATTTTTGCCTAATATACACACAGTTATGATTTGAGGATTATTAACCAGATAGTGATATTTTATAAGGACTAGAATAAGGTAGAACTAGAAGTGAGTAGAAATTGACAGATTGTTTAACATTGAGGTTCTATTGGTGAGAGTCCAGTTGGGAAAATAGTAATCATAACAGGTATTTCAAGTGGAGGGCATTTAATACAGAGAATTTTATCAAGTATTGGAACGCTGAAAGATGAAGTAACGGGAAATAGAGTTACAGGAAGGGTTTTTGGACTTTGCATGATAGTCTCTATATAATGTGAGACTGGTTAAAAAAAGTCAATCCAATGGAAGCAATGAGATCACATAGTGGTTGTAGGTAAAATGAAATACCAATGAGATTTGAAGATAAATAGACATAGGAACTAACACTTGTATAGTATTCATGATCAGCTAGATAATTATCTAAGTGCTTTTTACATGAGCTTAATCTTTCAAACAACTCTATGAAGGAATTGCTGATAAGTAACACTGAATAGATTGGGAAACAAAACTGCAGAGGATCAAGTAAATTCATCCAAGATTATACCGCAAGGAGTCTTTAGAGCTGAGATCCTAAAATAGACCTAAAATGTGATCTATTTTGGAAAATGTTCCATGTGCTGCTGAGAAAAACGTGTATTCTGATGCTGCTGGGTGGAATATTCGCTAGATGTCTGTTAAATTGAGTTGATCTATGCAGTTGTTTAGATCTGCAGTTTCTCTGTTAAGTTTTTGCTGAGTTGATCTATCTAGTGGGGATAGTGGTGTGTTAAAGTCTTTGGATCTATGTGAGATTTGAGAGAAAGTAGTGTTTCTTGGATAAATTTAGGTGCTCTGTTGTTTGGCAAATAGATATTTAGAATTGTAATATCCTCCTGAAGGAGAGATCCCTTAATTAGTATGTAGTGACCTTCTTTATCTATTCTCACTAATTTTAATTTGAAGTTTATTTTATCTGATATTAGGATTGCAACTGCTGCCTGTTTATTGGGGCTATTTGCTTGGTAGATTTTGTTCCAGCCTTTCACTTTCAAAATGTGTTTGTTTTTATGGGCAAGGTGTGACTCCTGAAGGCAGCAGATAGAAGGATCTTGCTTTTTAATCCAATAGACAGTCTATGTCGTTTAATTGGAGAGTTAAGTCCGTTAATGTTGAGAGATAGGACTGAGAGGTATTTGAGAGTTCCTGCCATTTTATCCACCTTCTTGGGGGCTGTGGCAACTGGGTTCTTCCTATGGTTCTTGGATTCTCAGTTAGGGTGTGGTTTCTTGGCCTTTATTGTGGTCTTGTTGGTTTTCTATGTGTAGGACATCTTTAAGTATCTTTTGTAGGGCTGGTTTGGTGGAGAGATATTGTTTCTTTGCTATGGAAGGTTTTTATTTAACCTTCGGTTATGAAGGAGAGTTTAGCTGGGTATAGTATTCTTAGTTGATAGTTGTTTGTCTTTAGGGCATGGCATACATCATTCCAGGCTCTTCTTGTTTTAATTGTGTCTGCTGAGAAATCTGACGTGATTCTAATTGGTTTCCCTTTATAGGTGATTAATCTTTTGTCCTTGACAGCTTTAAGGATTTTTTCCTTGGTCTGAATTGATCCTGTGCAGATTATAATGTGACCGAGGGATGTCTTGTTCTGGTCTGGTCTATTTGGAGTTCTAAAAGCTTCCTGTATTTGAATAATCCTATCTTTTTGCATGTTTGGGAAGTTCTCTGCTAGGATACTGTTAAACAAATTTCCTAGACCATTAACTTCTGTCTCTAGGTGCTCCTCTATGCCCAGTATCCTCTGATTAGGCCTTCTGATGGTGTCTTCCAAATGTTGAATAGATCTATCATAGTTCTTGGATTTGTCTTGGATGGTTGTATGTTCTTTCTCTATAATATCTAGGCTATGTTCAATCCCTGAGATTTGATATTCTGCATGGTCTAACCTACTGTCAAGACTTTCTACTTTGTTTTTTATTTCTTTTCCTTCTAATTGGTCGGCTTTGATGGCTTCAACTTCTTTGTTGGAGCTTTGTTTTAAATCTTGTATGAACTTCTTTATTTCCTTAATTTGGTTTTCAGTGTTTATTCTCAAATCCCTTAGTTGATTGGTTATGGTTTCCTTGGACTCCCATTCTTGCTGTTGGGCTCCATTCAGCATTCCCTTTGTGGTCTCCTTGACTTCCTTCAGCTCTCTGCTTATAGATTCCATGAATGCCTTTATTGATATTTGTCTATTCTCATCTCTCACAATTCCTGTATTTCTCTTTGATTAGCTTTCTCATGTTCACGCAACTCCTGTAGTTCTCTTTGACTGTTCTCAGCCTGCTCATGCCATTCCTGACTTTGTCTTTGTCTGTTCTCAGCCTGCTCATGTAATTCCTGTCTATCTCTTTGGCTGATCTCAGCCTGCTCATGCCATTCCTTTATTTCTCTTTGAGTGTTCTCAAGCTGCTCATGCAATTCCTGTATCAATCTCATGAGCTTCCTGATTGATCTTTGGTTTGCCTCCTCTCTCTCCCTATCACGCTCACACTGAGTCCTTTTTAGGTTTTCAGTCTTTTCCTTCACCATGTTTACCAGTAGTGTTTGTAGAGCTTTTTGGAAACTCTCCTCTGGATTATTCATTATCTGTTCTGTCACCTGATTACCATGAGTGGGAGTTGAGATACCCAGACCTGCCATTTTTCTTGTGTTTTTCCAGCTTGTTCTGCCTATTTGGGATGAAAGTAACACCAGTTTTGTGCTAGAACACTGTTTTAAGGCAAGCATCAACCAAAGTCCTGTAATTACACAGTCAAAAGTCTGCAGATACAATCTAGTTCAACAGATACAATTTATTCAACATCAAAAAACTATGTATTAATGGGCTAAGGACAGCAAAGAAGAATTTGACAAACCAGAAATTATTAGGTTTAGGGAGAAATGTGGGGAAAAATAGGGTTAGAGGGATGTGGAAAGGTAAAAGGAGAGTGAAATTAACCAAGTCCTAATCTCAAAGAGGAAAATGGATTGGACCAAATGATAGGAGAGAGAGCAGAAAAAAAAGAAAAAAGACAAGAAAAAATGGAAAAAACAAAAATTGAAAATTGAAAAGTGAAACACTTAAAAATTATGCAAGTTAAAGAAGTAATATTGAGAGAATAATGGGGATAGGATGAGAGGAGGAGAGGGATAGAAAGGTGACATGAAAAACTAAAAAATAAAACTACTTAAATATTGTATATGTATAAAGAGATAATACTGCTATTAAGGAATTTAAGCCTAAGAGATTTTGAATTGAGTAATAAATTTCTGGATTAAGTGTGTACACAATGGGGGATAAGGTCTAGTAATCGACGACGGGTATATCTGAGGATGAGCAGAACAGCAATTAAGTCATGCAAAAAAAAAATGAAAGAGAAGAAGTAAAAAGACTGAGAAAGAAAGAAAAAGTAAGGACCAAAAGGTCAGTAGAGACTAAAAATCAAGCACACACACACACACATATATACCTAAAATAAAAGTTATAAGACAAAAAAAAAAGATTAATAGAAAACAATTTTTTTAAAAAATTAAAAATTAAAAGAAAAGATACAAAAAAGAGTTCTTTGATTTTTTTGGGGGGGGGTGGGGGTGGGGTGGATGGGAAGATCCTGTATCTCTCTTGTGTCCATAACCAGTCTCTTGATGAAGTCTCTGTTCTGCTTGTGGTGTTTGGTTTTCCTGTGGCTTTCTTAAGTCATTTTTTTTGGGCAGGCATAAAAATGCTCTGCTTTACCCAGGATTTTGTGATCCTCCTCCCAAGCTAGTTCAATGGGAGGGAGATCTGCTTCGAGTTTCACAAAAGAGGGAGATGGCTGTTTCCTCTAGTTTGGAGATGCTGTGATGAGGATAGGTTCTGGGTAGAGTTGAGGCCTTTCCACAAATAGTAGCTTTTCCCTGAGGGGCTAGCTTCTGAGACACTCACAGAGCCCAGCCTGGAGCCATTCTCAGGGTTTATGTTTACTGAATTTCAATTGATTTTCTAGGCTGCTGTAGGGAGGGGCAGCCTCTGGCTCTGTTTACCCAGTGAAGAAAGCCCCTCCTCTGGGGATGGGGGTTTTCTCTGATTGGGCTGGATGACTTTCCCCTGGGTGAAGTTGAGCCTGGCAGGTCAGGTTAGGTTCCTGTGACCTGATAAATGACTCTATTGTTTTCTTCCAAGGCCTGAGTTGGAGCTAGCTGCTCAGCCAGGCCTTTGTCAGTATCAAAGATGGAGATCTCCGGTAGTGGGGGGGGGGGGGGAAGGGGTGGCCTTCCCTCCTCTGCTCCCTGAGAAGGAGTGAGGATGTCAGTGTTCTACTCACACCAGAGTCTTGGTTCCTGGGTCGTCTCTGGTCTGCGATCTGCAGGATGAAGATGTCTGCTCCTTGTCAGTTCTTGCTGGTGTTGAGTAGAATCCGCTCACCTGCTGCGTTTGGCACTTTTGTCCCAGACTCTCTGTATTGTAGATATGGTGGCTATGGCTGCTGCCGCCACAGCCGTGGCTGCTTGCAAGCGCTCAGATGTGTCTCCTTGCCTGGATTTTCCCTCTCTGGCCAAACTCTCTGTACTGTGATGGCACACTTGGTGAAATTCTCTGGCCCAGGACTGTTCACTGGAACACTAAAACTGCTTTCTATGCAAGAGCTTGTTTAGCTTCCAGCTTCTCCTCCGCCATTTTCTCGGAACTCTCCCTGCTGGCTTTTTCTGAGTAGTTTATTGGACAGGCTTTGAAATGAGATCCTCAGACCTCAGCTCAGCCTCCTGAGTAGATTACAGGTGTGAGCCATCAGCATATGGGTCATAATTACTACCTTTTCTAAAATTTTATTTTTTAATTAAAATTATTTTATATATTTTTATTGTAAAGATACTGTACAGAGGGGTTACAGTTGCATGAGTAAGGTAATGAGTACATTTCCTATTGAGCATTGTTACTTACCTCCTCCTTTGTTTTTCACCTACCATTTCCCCTGCCCTACAAGTTCTAAAGTTCATTTTCAACATCCACAACTTGTAAAGTTCATTTTCAACATAGTGTCTTGACCCATTGTTACAATGGGTTAAGCTGTATCCCTATTTAAGCATTTTGGATTTTTTCCCTTCCCCTCCCCAAGCTAGATAAGTATATATACAAGATGCAGGGCACCGACATCTAATACAGTGAAAACAGGGGTTATACCATGGGGGAAGAACATACAAAAGAAACAAAAAAATCACATAGTATATTAACAGCAACAGCGACAAAGATACAATCTCTGTGTCCCTATCATAGTTGCTACCTTGTAAAGAACTTGATTCTTGAATAGTCATGAAAAAATATATTTATTTAAAAATCCTCATGTTATAGTTCTTTAGGAATACAATGAATGTGGGTAAGAGCCTTTTAGTGGACTTGGAGTTCTTTATAGTCTACAGCCTTCCTGTCTGGTTGTAGAACTGTATGACATCAGCATTTGACTTAGGCAATTTTTCTCTCTTTACAGACTTTTCTTGTTCATGAGTGTGGTAGTTATGGGATGAGAGAGTATGTGGGAGGGATGAGCAATTGAGGCTGGAGTAAGGCTCAAACAGAAGGAACCCATGGGCTGCCCACATTTCCTTCCTGTATTCACTTGGACCATAACATTGCTTGCATGAACAAGGTAGTCTAATGATTAGTTTTTAGAGCATGAAAGGGTTAAAGAGGTATGATAATTAGTGAAATCTTCTTCTTTCTGCTTTAGTGACTACACAACTGGGTTGAGCATGTGTAGCTCTTCAGCTAAAGTAAAAGAGAGTGTTTTGTTTAACGTGTTAAATTGCCAGTACTTAAGCTGCTATTCCTCTATAGACCAAGGATGTGCAGAACTGGATTGTACCAGCTCATTAGAATGAATTATTAAATATTCAGGAATCCTATGAGTTGGTTGTTAAATTGGTAGCATTGGATTTGACCATGACATGAGGTTTCATACCACAGAAATGGGCAAACAATGTGGATGAGGGCTTTTTAATTTTTTTTAGTAGGTAATTTAATTTAAATTTTTTTAGCTTTTTAATTTTTTTCCCCCAGAATTTATCTGACTGTCAGTGCTACACTCAAGGCCATCATTGCTAATGTTTGCCATGGGTTAGATACTTTTGTTGGGTTATTTTAATGATCTCTCACAAAGAAGCCATAATCATACCAAACTTAGATTATAGATGGTTGTGGACAATCAGAAATGGATACTCAACAGCATTACTAATTTTCCATTTTCTTTCTTTTTTTTTTTTCCGGTTGTGGGGCCTGAACTCTGGGCCTGGGCGCTGTCCCTCAGCTCTTCAGCTCAAGGATAGCGCTCTACCACTTGAGCCACAGCGTCACTTCTGGCTTTTTTTTTTCATTTTGCTTATGTGGTGCTGAGGAATCAAACTCAGGGCCTCGAGCATGCAAGGCAAGCGCTCTACCACTGAGCCACCTTCCCAGCCACTAATTTTCCATTTTCTTGAGACATGTATTTTGATGTTCATTAACTAATGCAATGAATATTTACTGGGCATCTTTGTGTTAATTGCTGAACAACAAATCATTTAAATATCTAAGGAATTAAAGCAATGACAATCACACAGTAGGGCTGAGGGTTTCTGTGGGTTGGTGATTCTGACTTGTATCAGAGGAGGAATGGCTTGTCACCACTTCTGGGCCACGAGGCAGCATGCAGATGTTGGCTGGGGTGGCAGTTGTTTGCATACTTGACGAAGGCTGGTGAATCTACTGTTAAGGCTGCTCACTCACGTGGCTGGCAAGTTAGTTCTTACTGGGTAGTTTTTTCTCTACTTGGACCTTTGCTCAGATTGGAAGCCAGCCGTTGGAAAGACCTCCCACTCCTGTCCCCTGGACCTTACACATAATGCCTGGGTTCCCTGGAATGTACGAGTCCATGTCAGGCAAAACTAAATTCTTCATCTTAGAAAGTGAGGCAATAGGGCAGCTAAGAGGTCTCTGAGAAGTATATTTATTATGACTGCCATGCTTTTCCTCGGCATTGTACAACACATTTCTTCATTTATGCTTCTGCTATAAAGTGCCGCCTTTTAGGAAGATCTTTGTTGCTAACACCCATCAACACCATCTTCCTTATCTTAGGAATGTTTTCTCTTCATAGCATTTCTTATTATATCATAGTATACTGCATATATGCTTATTGTATTAAACCTTCATTAGAATGAAAGCTTGTTCCAGGCAGAAATTTACTATGTTCCTCATGCTTAGCATAGGTTCTTGATATTATTAACATTGTATGTTGAGTTAGAGAGACTTGGATGTGGAGTTTGTCTCTGCTATTCATGAGGTCAGTGGGAAAATCATATAACTTCTATACATTTCAGTGTTCTCATCTAAAAAGGAGGGCTAACAATGCCTACTCCTTGGGATTGTTATATATAAACATGACATAATATGTATAAAATACCTAACTTTGTTCATGTAGATACTGCTATTATTACTGTGTACTTGTTACTAGGATAATTTAGTGAACCATGAAAGGGCTGCTAGCCAGAAATTTTAATGGGATGGAGCAGTGACTGAACTCCTCAGAGGCCTTTTCTTAATCCTCTATTTTTTCATTTTCCTTGAAGGTCCTGAGCAGATTGAAGAGTAAATATGGGTCCCTCTACAGAAGAGATAATGTTATCCTGAGTGCCACTCACACACACTCGGGTCCAGCTGGGTATTTCCAGTACACTCTATTTCTCATAGCCAGTGAAGGATTTAGCAATCGGACCTTTGAATACATTGTTTCTGGTATTGTGAAGGTAGGCAAAAAGCACTGGGGCAAAGAGATCCAGAGACTGGGGTCTTGTTTACTATTGTTTACATGCATTTCAGGAGTGGTTTGGCATGATACAGTGTTAGTACCTATCTTACTTTCTCCTTCCTCATCAGACCCAAACCTGTCAACTAACCTTCAAATCTAAAAGCTAGGAGATGAGATTTGGCAAGGAAATCAGATTTATTCAAGGGTGTCAGGTAGATGGGAGGATGAGGTGATCATCACTTCAAAAGTCCATCTTGGGGCTTTTAATAAGGAGGAAAAGGGGGTACCATGGAACAGTAGAGGAAGACTGCATGCTTTGTTGGGTTTTCTATATACCATGTCCACATTTTTGCCTTCTGTCCAGAACATTACTGTGAACCTTGACTTCCCATTGCTAGTTACAGACACATTATTATTCTCCAGGTTAAACCTCAATTTGCATGATTCATTTATGTTTATGCATAGAAATAAAGAATAAGGTAGGAATCACACATTCTGGCATTATTTGAAGGTCACCAATTGTTCTGAGGTATTTAAATCTAAAGAAAGATTATTTAATATTTAGTAACTTAATCCTTATAATTTTTAATATTTATTTCCATTTAATTATTATCATAAAGTAGTTGTACAAAGGAATTGCCATTTAACAAAACAGTTTATGAATACAACATGTCTGATTTCAGCATTTTCATCCATCCCTGACCTACCCACCCCTTCCCTTACTCTTCTTATTTTTGTAGGATAGTCAATGGATTCTTAACTAATTTCTTCCCCTCTTCTCTTCATCTGGCTATTCCTTTCTCTTTGACTTGATTCCACCCTCTTTTGCTGAACTTTGATTTTTGGCTTTCAAAGGAATTAGACTAATCTGTTAATCCTTCAGATGTGTTATTTCTGGACCATTTAAAAGGGCAGACAGAGAGAGGGGAAATAAAGTAGCTTTGCCAAGGTCCACCCCCAGATGAGTTATACTCACTCCTCTGTCTACCATGCTATTATTTTGTTGCATAAGCGTCATGAGTGAGCTATATTAGAAACATACATTATACATCTATATCTTTTCACAATATCAGGACTTACTGAACAAGAGAACATTTATAAGCAACATCAATTTTGTTGGTTTTAAACTGTCAAGTACTACTGATTTCATTTGGTAGTCCTAGACACTGGTAATTACCAGTTGTTTTATTCTAATTTTAACTATTAATATGAATTCTCAGCATATATAGTATATTTACACACATACACATGCACATACAGAATGGCTACAAAAAAGTTAATAAATCCATAGATTTCAGAAGGGCTGTGCTACATAGCTGGAGAGCTGATACAACTGGAAGAAAGAAGTTTCTGTGCCAAACCATATAGGATTTTAGGAGACCAAGATGGAGCTGTTCAAAGCACACAGTTGTCACATGCAGGTCCATGTGGCAAGCAGTTTTAAATGTCACTTGGAAGTGAGCTATGTCCAAGTCACAGGCAGGAGGAACTGCACTTGAGCCAGAGCCTGGAGACAGAGCCATTGGTTCTTCACTGTGGTAATTTCCTAGACAAGGCTTAGCATCATGTGTCTCCACACAGCATGTCTTCCATTTTAACTAGAGAGATTGTTTCTACTTACCTCCAGATTGACAGCAACCATGTGTTCTATAGCTTTTACCCTACAGTGGGATGTGAGAGATATAGGAAATCACTTACAGAGCTTTCTCATTACATTGAATAAGTCATTATGCCCACCATGATGTCTAAGCTTACCATAATTTTTTAACTTTCAGAGCATTGACATAGCACACACAAATATGAAACCTGGGAGAATATTTATTAATAAAGGAAGTGTTGATGGTGTGCAGCTCAACCGAAGCCCTACTTCTTACCTTCAGAATCCACAATTTGAGAGACTAAGGTGAGAGGAAATTGCCAAAATAGGATCACTGCCTTTTTCTTAGAGAAGAGCAACAAAATCTCAGTCCAGAGGTCTTAGTTGGTGGAACGGTAGGATCCTAGGGGAGTATTAAGGTTAAAATGTTTTTTAGACATGTTGAAGACAAACAGGGAAACTAACGGTAAATGTAGAAACCAGCTTTTAGTATGTATGTTGCACTTTGGTGATCAGTATGAATGGCTCTTCAATCACTGACACAACTGTTGTCTTAGCTTAATTTTACTGCTTTCTAGCTCTGTGATCTACCTTAGATAGGTACTACTTACTTTCATTTATGGCTGTTGGCTTCTTCATCTCTAAAATGGAGATAAAAATATGCACAACACATCTTTTAATGAATATCTCTTTCACTATGTGCTATCCAGAAACCATCTTAGTCCAGGAGAAGGAGACAGGAAAAATGATCAAAGAACAAAGAATCTTGAAGAAAGTCAAAAAATAAATGAAACATAACTAAATGCAACAACTAAGAGAGATAATTTTTGATGTTCTTTTGGGCAGAACTAGATTTGGACTCAAATCTAGTGATTTCTAAGCAAGCATTCTATGAGTAGAGCCAGTCCTTTATTGTGTTGGTTATTTCACAATAGAGTCTTGCTTTATGCCCAGGCTAGCCTGGACTGCAGTCTTCCTATTTTCACTTCCCTGAATTATTGGTATGCCATACCCACTTGACCATATCCAGTTATTTTTAGAGATGGAGTCTTTGAAACTTTTTGGTCTAGACTTGCCTCAAACCACAGTTCCTGAATCTCTCCTTCCCAAGAAATAAGGATTATTGGCTTAAACCACTACACTATGCTATATTTTGTGTTTTCTTAAAGTGAGGAATCAAGTGTCCTATAGAGGAGAATAACGTAGCTACTCTGGCTTTGTGAATCAGCTGCTTAACATTCATGTTTGTCTTTGTATTTTTCAATGGTTTTCAAAGGTGTTTGTTTTTAGAATATATAATCTTATTTTCTTTGAAAGAATATAAAAGAATATTTAAGTTGTGAGTAAATTGAGTGATTTTAGTTTTGTACACTCTGCTCTTTTTAAGAGATTCTGCTTAAATCTAGTATGAGTAGAAATATCAAAGACAAAGCTTCTTTGTCAGAAACATAGCATTACTTACATTATATAAATATAATTTAGTTGGTCTAGTGCCCATGTGGTTGATTGCAATTATAATCCATTTCCTTATATAAGGAATAGTTACTTACAGTTTATAGAACTATTACTAGTCAAGCATTTTACTTTGTAAGATGTTATTGTTTTGTGTCAGTTTTTATTATTCTTAAAACAAAAAGGTGAGTCTCTTAACACAGAACTAAGTTTCTTGTTTTGCGGACTAGGTATTCTTCAAACACAGACAAAGAAATGGTGCTCTTGAAAATGGTAGATCTAAATGGAACCGACTTGGGCCTTATCAGGTATTTCGACTTAGTTGTATATGTGTGTGTGTGTGTGCGTGTGTGTGTGCGCGTGTGCACGTGTTTTAAATCTGAGTATCTTTTGTTAAATCTGGGACAAGAAAGGTAACTAGTTTGGCATATGCTGAGAATAAGTGATGTGATTAAGAGACCAGACTTTGGAGTCAGACACAATTGAAATGCAATGCTGGGGCGTTGTGCAAACTTCTCAGCCTCTTGGCCCTTAGTGCTTCCCCTATAAAACAATAAAAATGGAGATGAATCTAACAAGGGACTGTGGTAAAGAGCTCAGTACAGCATCTGGCACATAATCTGAAGACTCAGCAAATGTTAATGCTTATTACTTGATCAAGCTATCATGTGTGAACTTTTGTGATGGAAGACAGTTCTCTCTTGATAAAATGAAAAAAAGATCTTTCAACCAGGTAAGGGGTTAGAAGTTTAGGATTATTTGCCTAGGGTTTCCTACAAGGACTAAGTTGAATTCCAGACAGTGCCAATTAGGGATAGAGGCAGATAGAACCAGGCAGGTCACCTATGGATGCAGATGGGTTAGATTGGGCATTGGCTCTAGCACAGCTATCTGCCATAGGCAGCCTATGAGGAAACATAAGGTGATTTTTTTTGAAGAGAGATTTTGATCACAGCCAGTAGGCGAGATGAGCAATTCTTAGAACCTTGAACTTTATACTCAGGAATGATATAAAAATGCCCTATGGGAAGTATTTGAGAAGGCTTGGGTTCTGGAGTCAAATGGCAGCCCAGCGTGAGCTGTGTATCTATGCTGTGTATCTGTGTGACTTTAGACAAGTTATGCAACTATAACTACCTTGTCTCTAGATTTCCTTATTCCTAATTCTTTTTTGAGCATACTGTGGCATGAAGTAAGTTCGTAAAATATTGTTGAGAAAGATGAAAGTGGCTATCAGGTCTGCCAAATAGAATTGTAAAATATCTAAGTGAAAAATTCTATTGTGAGTAAATGAAGTTAAAAGTATGAGAAAAAAATTACATGTGTGAAGCTCCAATAAGCTCCATAAGACAGTGTGGTGAACCTCATGGTATAAAGTGTTTAGGTTCTGGGGTAAGCTTGACTTGGGTTCATATTATAGCAATGTCTACTACTTACTAACCTGTGGCCTGGAGAACATGGTACCTATTTAGTCTTCAACTTATCCTATTTGAAAGTGGGGATGGCTAACACCTTACCAGGTTGTTGGGAATTAAGTGGGATAATACACGTAAAGCTGGTTATGTGCTGGGTTTAGAAAAGGAACACAATCACTGGACCCAAAAGGCAAGGAATAGAATACAGTTGTACTTCTCCTAAATAGCTCTGTTATTGACATGTGAGAGTTCTTGAAGCTGAGCACAGGGTATTTATCTCCCTTCCTAGTACAGGGAGAATGAGTCAGGATGATTGTGGGTTAAAATCCAGCTTGAACTACATAGGTAGAGCCTGTCACAAAACAAAATGAGTCAACAACAACAAAGAAAGAAACAAAACATCCTTAAAATCCTTAACATTGGAGTTGCTTTTTTGAGTTTAGAATGGGGTCACCAAAAACTCCTGGTGAACTTTGCTGTATAGGCTGATGTGGTAAGACTCATTTTTCCCTTACCTCTGGTAAGTTATCCATAGCATTTGCCCCAGAATTTCGAATGTTGGCCATGCAGCTGTGTTCTTGGTGTGTGTCATGAGTAGGACATAGTTCCTGTTTTCAAGGTTCTTACTGGTTGGTGGGATGATCAGGACAGAGATAAGCAGATAGACAAGTAATAATGTAACCACCAGATAGCCAGATAACCACTAATGCTATCATGTTTGCATGAACAAACTCCATGGAACATTGCAGGAGGCTGCACTGAATTCTAGAGAGCATTTGTTTATTTGTGGCTTAAACTCAGGTCCTTAAACTCTCACTTGTTTGTTTGTTTTTTCCATTCCAGTGTACTACTTAACTACTTGAGCCACCTCTTCATGAACATATTTTTCACTGGTAAATTGGAGATTAGTGTTCTCATGGGCTGGGTGTTAAGGCTTACACCTGTTTGTTTGTTTGTTTTTGTCAATTGTGAGGTTTGAACTCTGGGCTTGAGTGCCGTCCCTGTGCTCTTCAGCTCAAGGCAAGGGCTCTATCACTTGAGCCACAGCGCCACTTCCAGTTTTCTAGTGGTTTATTGGAGATAAGAGTCTCACAGACTTTCCTGCCTGGGCTGGCTTTGAATCATGATCCTCAGATGTCAGCCTCCTGACTAGCTAGGATTACAGGCATGAACCACTGTAATCCCAGCTTCTATGGAGGTTGAGATCTGAGGATCACAGTTCAAAGCCATTCTGAGCAGGAAAATCCATGAGCCTCTTATCTCCAATTAACCAGCAAAAAGCAGAAAGTGGAGGTGTGGCTCAAGTGGTAGAGCATGCATACACACAAACACACACGCATACCTACACACATATCTCATGGAATATTGTTTCTGGGCTGGCTTTGAACCAGGATTCTCAAATTTCAGCCTCCTGAATAGCTAGGATTACAGGTGTAAGCCACCAGTGCTTGGCTTAGAGAACATTTCTTGACAGAAAATGACCATGCCATTTGAGCTGGACCTTGAGGAGTCAGTAGGCATGAAAAGCATGAGTGGTGAGCTAAGTCCAGATCAAAAAGTGGGTGGGAAGTGAATTGGAAAGGTGAACAAATTCTAGATCATGGAGCACATTGATGCAGGCTTTTGTTACAAGATGTGTTAAGAATGGATATCTCTGTAAGAGGATGAGTCTCTCACCTTTGTTGGGAGAAGATGGCTTTCCCTTACATCCTACAGAAACTTTCCATTGTTTGTATGACTGCCCTATGTTATCCTGGATGTAATTGTCCTCACTGCATTGACATGATTGCTCTTTGAATACATTAGACATTTTATCTGACACATCCAGTCACATCCAGGCTGCTGTGTAAATCAGACACCACACATAGGTGCCTGTCATTAGGCAGAACCCCACACTGTTAGGAGTGAGGAAAAAGCTAGAATCTCAGAGCTCATCTTTATGGAGATTGTCTTTCTTAATCTCAGCTGGGGAGCAAAGGTGAAGAAAATGTCCCAATGTTACCTCATTACTGTTCTTTCTTCCTCTCATACAGAAAACCATAAGGAAGTTCTTCACGAATTTCTTCCTACTTTCATTTTTGTTTCCTTTACTTCATTCAACAAAATCTGCACCAGGTTGCTCCTATGTGCCAGTAATACTTTCAGTTCTTAGAATAATGCATTCATATAGAACACCTTGGACTCAAATGCCATTGTTTGTACTCCTTGAATATATTTTACACTACATGACACTTGGTTTCCACAGTTGTGACACATGAATATTCTACCTTCTCTCAACACAGAGATTAATAGTTTCCATTTATGACTCAGTCAAACTAGGCTTAGGGATACAGCCACAAGCAAAAATTGATGTACTTATTGCCATTATAAGACTCCCAGTTTATTGGTGGAGAGAGAGGGCATTTAAATAGTAATACCCATACGAGTTTAATTGTGCTAAGGGTTAGGAATTGTTTAATTAAATTATAATCAGATTAAGTTCCAAGGGAAGTTTATAGAGTTATCTTAAAGGAATGTGGCCTTGTCAAACAGATTAGAAATAGGGTTGAAATATGAAGGAAGAGTAACAATTAGCCAACAAAATGGGGGATGGAAATAACATTTTACAAACTTGGAAAAGCATGTGCAAAACCTCTGTGGTCCATTTGATGGGCTGATCGGAAACCTGTGTGTGTGGAGTACAGGACAATGGAGCAGGTGTATGAAGTAGTTAGGGATTAGATAACATGATAAAGATCTTGGTCTTTATAGCAAAATAAGTGAACAGTTATTAAAATGTTTTAAGGTAAGGTTGGGGTGAGCTATTGAAAGGCTAGGAACAGCAATAACTTGAAGAATGAAGTAAAATGATGTTCATGAACTCATTCCATAAACCACAAAATCCTCTCATTTGCAAACCTCCCAGGTTTTTTTGCCTTTCATTCTCCTTAAGAGAAAACACTAGATGGCTTTTCTCTAGAATAGAGGACATAGTTGGCACATCTAAATTCTGACTGAAAATAAGAGTACTTACAAATGTCTGTTGTGGGAGAGTCTGGAAGTCATGGAATAGTCTGTGACCCAACAGGGAACATAGAGATGGGTCTTGAGAGATCTTGGTATTAAGGCAGTGCATGTAGGAAGAGACTCCCAGGAAAGAAAACAAAGAGAGGTTTCAGAAACGGAAGAGAAAGTCACAAGAGCGGATAGTGGCATTGTAGCTCTGAGTAGGAGAGCCTCTGCTTACAAGTCCACCCAAGAGAACAGCTGTGGGAGGGGCAGCTGGGATACTGCTCATTAACGTGATTAAATTGTGGCACAGGCATTGTCTCGCAAGAGTTGTATGGAGGCTCCTTCCCTCCTCTTCTTTACTTTTCCCCTCTCATCTGCTCCTCTCCTTTCTCTTTCCTTCTCCTATGCCCTTTCCCCTTTCCTCTCTCTTCTTCTCCCCCCTACTCCTTTCCTGTCTTCTCCCTTCCTCCATGTCACACCCCTAGGAAGCAACATGCATTGGATCCCCTGGGTTGGGAATATAAAGAAGCTCTGAGCTGGTCTGCTAATGATGGCTCCATTGCACATCCTTTTCTTTGTACAGAAAGGGCTTGTGTAAGGGCCCTTTAAAGGGACATATAAAAAACTATAGAGGCAGTAGTTTGTGCAAGATATTTGAATAACATGTACACACTTAAAAAAACCCTCAATTGTAGAGTTAAGTGAGTTGATTCAGAAGATATTGCCTGTGTTTGCTATTCTTCACTGTCATCTGGGCTTATGCCACACTGAATTATGTCTCACTGTGTATATGACTTCTACTTTACTCAGTCCACATAACTTCTGTCAAATAGAAAATGTTAAAATCTCAGTGACTGTCCTTCTCTAAACCTCTCTCTCTATATTTTTTAAATTACTTTTTGAGACAGGACCATGCTGTGTATTCCAGACTCACCGCAAATTCAACAACCTCCTGTCTCATAAGTGTGAGCTTCCATGCCCAGACTGACTTACTAAACCATTCTTGACTTCATTTCTTCATTTTGCTTCATCTTAGTCTTCATACATACCTCTTTCTCTAGCATTAACTCTTGTTTAGAAAGACTTGCTCTCTGTTTCTATGACCTTCACTGAATTCTCCCCCTCCCCCGCCCTCGTGCCATCTCTTCTAAGTTATTCTGATGATTAATGCTGTTTTCCTTCACATGGCTGTTCTGTAGTGTTCTTCAGCAGAGCTGTGGCTAATGTGTCCTGAGGTCTTATCCTGTATCTAGTCCTCATGAAAGAATGATTGTGCTTAATAAGGGCTTTTGATGATCAAGTGCTCACAGTTGACTGATAAGAGCTATATCAGGATTCTTGTATGAGTTAGATCATCTCAAGCTTTGAAAACAAAGCCATAAAAACCATTTGGTAGAAGACATTGGACTTTCTTGTTAGCTATCTAGAAAGTTCTTAGCCTGATGACCTATGCAGGGTTATTATTTTTCAGGTATTATTTTCAGTATTTAGATAAGATGTACTCATTGTCAAAGGTCAAAAACTGCAGAAAATGAACAAGGAGGGGCTGGGAAGGTGGCTCAGTGGTAGAGTGCTTACCTTGCATGCACGACGCCCTGGGTTCGATTCCTCAGCACCACATAAGCAGAAAAAGCTGGAAGTGGTGCTGTGGCTCAAGTGTCTGTAGAGGGCTAGCGTTGAGCTGAAGAGCAGAGGGACAGCACCCAGGCCCAGAGTACAGGCAAAAAGAAAATGAGAAGGAACGGAAATGAACTCAAAATTATTCCTTCTCAGGTCAACTATAGTGAATAATCAGAAGCCTTTGCTTCTGGTCATTTTCCCATGTAGACCATGTAGTAAGAAATGATCCTGACTAAAGCCAGGCACCAGTGACTTGTACATGTAATCCTAGCTAATTAGGAGGCTCAGATCTGAGAATTGTGGTTTGAAGCCATTCCAGGTCAGAAAAAGCCCATGAGAATCTTATCTCCAAATAACCAGCAAAAAGTTAGAAGTGGAGATGTGTCTCAAGTGGTAGAGCATCAGTCTTAAGTGAAAAAAGCAAGCAAGAGTACAAAGCTCTGTGTATAAGCTTCAGAAGTGGCACAGGAAAAAAGAAAGAAAAGAAGAAATTAGCCCAACTAATTGTGGATGTTTATCTATCCACACTCTGGGCACTGACTTTGCAATATATTAAGATTAACAATGCCATCTTCATGGACTGAAATGACCAAGTGGTTTTATGTGGTTATTTGTTTTTATAGAGACTCTCTTCATATCTAATAATGCTTTTTATCTTATCTCAAACTACAGGCAACTTTTGGACAATATAGTAATATGGCTCTTTGCTGGACAGAATTTGCTATGCATATATGTTTGTCATTTTCTTTCAATCTCTGTTCTAAGGTTTTAGGGGGTCTCTCTTATGAATAGGTGGCTTTATTTATTTGTTTTGTGCCTTGACAACCTTTTTGTCTATCGGTGAGTATAGTCCATTTTTTGAAATTGAGATTACTATATATCTGAACTTTTCCCTCTCTCTATCTACTCTGCTAATAGTCTCTCATCTTCAATCCTTCTTTTCCTCTCCCTTCTCATCTCTCACCCCCCTTTTTGATTGATAGGGATTAAAAAATTGTTATTATAAGTATGATGTATAAAGCAGTTATAGTCATATGTCAGGTAATGAGTACTGTACGTTTCTCTTTGGACAATGTCACTCCTTCCCTCGCTCTCTTCCCCTTTGCCCCTCTGAGTGATAGGGATTTAAGGAAAAAAGTACTTCTAAGTGTCAGAGGGTAGGTTTTAGTGATGCCTACAGTACTGCAACCACCCTTTCCTCCTACATGATTGATGCAAATGTCCTTGCTGCTCTCCACCCAGAGATGGAGATGAGCTTCTGCTCCAATCTAGTGGCTGCTCTGATCAGTGGGAAATAGCAAAAGAGACATTGTGCCACTGCTCCCATAGTCGTTATTATTTGAAAGACTTCGCTGTGTTTAACTACTGAATGTTAAACTTCCTTTATTTTAAAAATAGGAACTCTTCGCAAATTTGAATGTTATCCTTGGACAGGGGCTGTGCTAATCTCTGTGTGGTTCCAATTTTACCACAGAGAAGTCTTAGGTTTATAGCAAGTTAGACAGAAATTACGGTGAGTTGCTGTAGATGGCTTCTCCCAATATGTACATTCCTTCACCCAGAGACTGGGATTCCCTCAGGGGTGCATTGTTACAGGCAGAGAGCCTGGCTTGTGATGTCATTATGCAGTTCACTTGAGATTCGCTCTTGGTGTCATACCAAGTGGAATTAAGAAAAATCTTTTCTCCCCCCCCCCCCATCAAGTTGTACAGATCATTTCCAACATATTGACTTGTGAGTATTGCTGCTGCATTGGTTCCCCCTTTGTACTCTCTACCTCACATAAGTAACTGTAACCCTTCTGTATATCACCTTGATAACAAAATTTAAAAATTAAAAAAAGTCCTTTCTTTAAGGGAAAGTAATTTTGCAAGTTCTTGAAGGTTTGCCCATAAGAAAGAAATTAATTTTTTAAATCATCTGTTAATTTTCTGATTCAGAGATAATTTCTATTAGCATTTTGTTACATAGCCTTTTAGATTTTTTTCTAAACATATTGATAGAGACTTTTATTTTTAAAAAATGAAGTTGGATTATATAGATAGGTAATTAAAAAAATTCATCAGCCCTTTCTGAATATATTTCATTAGTAGTTAGTATTTTTATTTATTCATTTTTTTGTTAGTCATGGGGCTTGAACTCAGGTTGGGCCGGGGTGCTGTCCATGAGCTGTTTTGCTCAAAGCTAGTGCTCTACCACTTTGAGCCACAGCACTACGTCCTGTTCTCTGGGGATTAATTGGATAATTGGAGATAAGAATCTCAAGGACCTTCTGCCTGGGCTGACTTTGAACTGCAATCCTCAGATCTCAGCTTCTTGAGTAGCTAGGATTACAGGCATGGGCCACCAGCAACCAGCTGTGATTAGTATTTTTTAAATCACCATTTAAAATTATTGTAGAGTATTACATAAGTCCTATATATGCACACACATATGCTCAGCACTCATTTGATCTTAGTTGTTTGCAGGCTTCCCATCATAAAATAGATAAGGAATTATATATGTATATAATGTCTATATATATGTTTATATATATGTGTATATATATATATATATATATATATATATATATATGTTTATACCCTTGCTGTAAACATGAGTTCAATGCTGTTTTCTAGACTCTTTTCAGTCTTGGTGTTTCATGCTTAATAATAATTGCCAAGTAACAGACAAAAATATATCCAAATCACTATTGTTGGATTTCTTCAATTCTTAGTTAGGTTGAATTAAAATAGCTTTTGCTATTTATCTCCTGTTTTGTTTTCTTTTTTCTTAATTTTGAAAATACCGTACAGAGGGGTTACAATTACATGGGCAAGATAATGAGTACATTTCTTATCAAGCATTGTTGCCTCCTTCTTTGTTTCCCCTTCCCATCCTTTCCCCTCTTCCCCCCGCAATGCCCCCCCCAGACCTCCCCGCCCCCAAGATAAGTTGTAAAGTTCGTTTTCGACATAACCATTTGTACATCTCATTGTTGCAATGGGTCTACCTATATTCCTATTTTGCTTTGTATGTCCCTCCCCCAAGGTATAACCCCTGCTTTCACTGTATTTGATGTTGGTATAATTTGCGGAGGGGAAGGGCAAAAACAAATCCTGTTTGCTTTTGAGTTGTTGATTACTTGTACCAGTTATAACACAGTAATTTTGATTGGTATAACTTAATGAAATACCCCAAACAGATATCTCCACAATCATCATGGCAAGGGCCTTTTTCATTCAGGATTTTTGAGAATAACAAAATGCTTTGTTGAGATGGTAGATTGGTAGATACTGACCATGTAGTTCACCTGTAATTGAAAAAGGGCTGCTCTGCTATAGTTTATGGTCTTCCTTTAATCTGAATGGTTCAGTCCATTATATTTACATGTCTGTCTCTGTGTGTATAATACACACACACACACACACACACACACACACACACACTCACACACACACACATAGATCCTCTGCTGGTTTAAAATTGAACCTGACTTTTAGGTAGAATTCTGTATCCAATCATCCTTCTAGTGTAGCACAATAGAACATCCTCCTTCTCCAAATAGTTTCTCTCTCTCTCTCTCTCTCTCTCTTTCTTTTTGGTTGGTTGTGGGGCCTGAACTCTGGGCCTGGGTGCTGTCCCTCAGCTCTTCAGCTCAAGGCTAGCGCTCTACCACTTGAGCCACAGCGCCACTTCCGGCTTTTTTCATTTTGCTTATGTGGTGCTGAGGAATCGAACCCAGGGCCTCGTGCATGCAAGGCAAGCACTTTCCCATTGAGCCACCTTCCCAGGCCTTCAAACAGTTTCTATTGGGGTGGAATGAAAAGATTGTGAATTATGAGAGAGCACACAAGGAGGTGTGTTCACCAAAGTAATAAATGCCAAGTGACATCACTGAATGTGAAAATCCAGTTGCTTTATATATTGAAGATTTATTTCCTACACAGGGTAGTGTCATAAAGTTTGGATGGTCCTGCATATTACTAGGCAGAACAATTGCCCCACCCTGCAAATAGGACTGAGAAACAGATGAGCCTATGGGCATCTATGAGCATTCAAATCACTGCCACAAGAGGGCAGAGTTTCCTCATTTAATTATTTCATGTTTATCTATGGGCTTCAACATACATATGTTGCATGCATCACACATGCATACACCATACATTTTAACACTGTATTAAAAATATTATGCTCAGAGATTTATCTTGCATCACCATCATCATCAACTGCATCTGTATCAGTATCAGCATCAAGAGAATCATAAGTCTTCATTCCATTCTTAATATAGGCCAGTCTTGGTGCTAAGTACTTGTATTAGTTCTTTGTCAAATGCTGTGAGGTAGGTGTACTACTATTATCATTGTACTTAGATATGAACACTGAGTTTCAACTAGGTTTAATGACTTGTATCTGACTCAGGAGTTGGCACTATAACATCTGGTCTCTGTTTTAGTTTCCCAGGGAAGCCAAATATTATTATAGATGGTGTGGCTTAAAATAATAGTGACTGATAGTGATAGATCAGTGATTAGCAGTTCAGTGTATCAAGGCATTTGCAATGTTGGTTCCTTCCTGAGGCTTTGAGGGAGAATCTATTTTATGTTTCTCAGCTTCTAGTCATTATCATGAATCCTTCACTTGCTTGGCTTGTAGACACATCATTCCAACCTCTGTTTTCATCTTTACATTGACTTCTTTCAATGCCTCTTTGGTTTTTAAAAATTCTTGTTACAAGGATATAAGTCATTGGATTTAGGGGCTGTGGCAAGTCAGTAGGTGTTACTGTTATTATCTTCATGATAGCTATGAAGGCCCATTAAAAAATAAGTCAGGTGCTAAGGTTTTAGTTAGGCATGAATGTTTGGTGGAACATTATTCAACCCACAATAACCTCCTCATATTGCATTTTTCCAAGAAGAGTTCCTATGAAACTTCATGAACAATATTTTATTTCCGTATTTGTGGACATTGTGGGTGTAGACACGGCTGGGATAGAGCTGGGACGAAGGCATCTTTGTGAGCGAACAGGGGATGGATTTCAACCCACATATAACCCCCTTTTTAGGCACTTATGTACAGGGCACAACTTGCCAACTGGATCTGGGGATCTAGAGCTGACAGAATGGAACTTGGGGTGGGCTTGCTTCTTCAGAACATTTATGGAGCTTTTCTTTGCTGTTTCTGAGTAGGACACACACAATGCCCTGGAGGTATTTTTCTCCAAATAATCTGACTTATACAGAAAACACATAGATTTATTGTAATCTTTATTAATATATTGCTTACTGATTCACAAAATATAGTTGAAATGTTATTTTTCAGTCTCAGGACCAGAGAACTGGAACAAGCTCTGCTATGATGAGTATAAGATTCCCATTGTTTGATTTCCTCAGTCCTCCAATGAGGTTGAACTGACCCCATAGAGCCCTGGGTATATACTATTTTATGTCTGAGTGTGATATCATCATCTCGTGACAATGTTTATGATCATGGAAAGAGCCTTCTAATAGTAAGAAACTCTTCTAACAGTAAGATTTTCTTCCTTTCAGACTTTGCTTAAGAAGATTTATTTTAGCAGATAGATTATAAGCATGGTCTTTTTAAAATATCAATGACCACTTCTCAAATATCTTTACAAATATACATTTCTGCCATCATACTTTAGTAGTGTGCTATGTGGCGCAGTCTTATAGTGTAGTACCACACTCTTCAAAAAGCAGAGAAAGAAATATACAACAGATTCTCTAATTGAAATTCAAATAGCTTTTTGTGAATGCTTATTTTTTTCAGTTATGTAGAGAAAATGTTTGATTTTCTAAGTCTTAAAGTGGATGAATTAAATAAGAAGTCAAGTCTGTGGTTTAATTAGTAAGCTCAAATTCTTAACATTTGCATTCTCCACAGTTACTGGTGTGAAACTTATTGGTAGCATAGAAAACACCAGATTCTGTGTTCCTTGGGGTTTGACGCAACACCAGTTATACCCTGGCCTCCCAATAAATTCACATTGATTGAACGAATGGGGCAACCACTACTATTCACTGCTCATATTCACTGTGTTCTGTGCCACTCTGCCTGTCTGTTCCTCCTCGGAAGAGGTCCAGCCTTTGCAGGAGTTCTTTCCTCTTCAGGAATACCTCTTCATTGGCAAGCTCTTTGTCCAGTTCCTATGGAACCTTTGAGATCTGCTCAAAGGTTCATCCTTCCCAAACCATTTCGCAAGGGCAACATGATGCCCATTCATCTTTGTTTTCCTTTTGCCTGGCTCAAAGTCAAGGTCAACTAAATTTGTGCTGAATGAGTCAATGTGTGAAGAGAAGGGGAAGAGTCAGGATACCATACAGGATACAAGCTCTCTGTATTCTGACAAATCTGGGTTCATGCTTTGAAGCTTGTCTAATGACTGTTTGACTTTGGGGTCAACTTACTTGTGACCTCATGATGAGACTTAGTTTTCTCGGCTGTAAAATCAGGATAAGGATAATATCTGACTCAAAGGCTTTCATGAAAATAAAATCCTGTATTGATAGTTCTTTGCCTAATAGGCTCTAAATAATAGTGATGAGTGAATTGTTCTGTGAGTTTCTTTTGATGCAAGAGAGAAGTAATAGGGCTGAACCTGGCTGAGTTCGTGTGATAAGGTCAGACTGAAATATGTTGGTTGGGAAAGCATGAGCCTATTATGGCCATTACCACATTTTTCTTCCAAACTGAATAAAGCAAAACTCCAGAACAGCAAAAGCCACCTAACTGGGCAATAGTTGATTAGAATTTACTTTCAGTTTTTAAAGATAGAAGAACAACCCCCCCCCCCACCAGGTATACACATTTTTCTTATATATAAAACCTTACAAGTACCTTCAAGATTATCTTTCTTTTAAACTTCACTTCCTTTGCCCAGTGGCTATCCTTTGACATCTCTGAGTTGCCTATAGGGATGAGAGTAAGGTAGCCTCTTAGGCCTGTAAGATCCAAATAAAGTAACAGGTTAGCACGTGAACTGTGTGGCTCTCCACTTGAACAAGGTATTACTATGCAAGAATTTTGCATGCAGTCTTCTACACCTCTCTCCACTTGCCCGGCTGCTTACCCCTCCCCTCCCCAGTGTCCTTGAGAATGAATTGTCAGTCATCTGTGGTCTCCAAATGCTTCCTGTCTATTTCTTCCTACTGTTTATCACACTATATTAAGGCCATTTGTTCACATCTCTGTCTTTTATGCAGTCTGGAAGTAAACCTCCACTTTTTCTATGTCTGCCAAAAAGCTGAAGCTCAGTAAATGTCTGTTGGGTTGTGTTGGATTGATTAGGTTAATTACTGTCTTTGTGCCTGTCTTGAAGAGCAAAGTTTACACCAATACAATTATTTTGATTGTACCATAGGACAATTGATTGTTTTTGGCATTTGTTAAAAGCTTATTTGAAGATAATAATGGAGAAGTATTTATAAAAATGGAATTCTAGGGGCTGGGGAGGTGGCTCAGTGGTAGAGCACTTGCCTTGCATGCCTGAGGCCCTGGGTTCAATTCCTCAGCACCACATAAGCAAAAAGGAAAAAAGCCGGAAGTGGCGCTGTGGCTCCAAGTGGTAGAGTGCTAGCCTTGAGCTGAAGAGCTGAGGGACAGCGCCCAGGCCCAGAGTTCAGGCCCCATGACAGGACCCCCCCCCCCAAAAAAATAAAAAAAATTAAAATTAAAAAATAAATAAAAATCAGAAACAATGTTTTAAAAAAAATGGAATTCTATTATTTTTGTCTGCTTTGGTACTGGGGCTTGAACTGGGACTTGCACTCTTGCTTGGTGTTTTTGCTTAAGACTGATGCTCTTCTACTTGAGCCACACCTCTTCTTAGTGGTTAATTGGAAATAAGAGTCTCATAGACTTTTCTGTCAGGGCTAGCTTTGAACTATAATCCTCAAATCTCAGCCTTTTGAGTACCTAAGGTTATGGGTGTAAGTCATAAACACGCAGCAGCTTTGTATCTTTAATTTGAGTCAATGATTAATTTTCTTGAGTAATTTTGAGTTTTGGTCATAAACAATGAAAGGATCTAAATGTAGACCTAATTCAAAATACTTTGTCCTACTGGAGAAAACCTGAGCTCCCAGTTCTTATGTTTGGCCTGTGTTCTCCAGTTGTCTTGATTAATTCGGGGCCTCTGTTCTTTCACAGCTGGTTTGCCATCCATCCAGTCAGCATGAACAACACCAACCACCTAGTGAACAGTGACAACATGGGCTACGCAGCTTACCTTTTTGAGCAAGAGAAGAACACAGGATATCTACCTGGACAAGTGAGATTATTTGCCACTGAAAGCATCATCTTGAGCTATCAAGTGTTAATTCTTCATGCAACCTTTATAATAGCTGGTCCAAATTTCTTGAGTAAATTATTATCATGGGCCTCATGGATATGCTTGGATATAAAGAATTCACTATTGTCCCTGAGAGGGAAAGAAAAGGTTTAAATTATTAATATTTTCTCTTTGTGGCAAATACTCTTTGTGTTGCTAGCTTTATGAAGCCACCATCCGTTGCCTACAGAAAGCAAGTTCAAGATTTTTGTAACAGATACTAGTTTTTTGTTTTTAGTTTATTTATTTTTATTATAAAGGTGATGTGCAGAGAGGTTACAGTTATATAAGTCAGGGAATGAATACATTTCTTTTTGAACAGTGTCACTTCTATCTTCTTTTTCCTCTCAGATTTTTTCCCTTCTGACTTCTTTCCTCTACACGTTGTTTAGTTCATTTTAAACATAGTGTCTAGTCAGTATCACTGCTGCATTTGTTTCCCCTTTATCTTACCATTTCTGTGTTTCCCGTTACCCTCCTAAAACAGATAAACTTACATACAAGACACAAGGTACAGAAATCTAAAACAGCGACAAAGGAGAAAAAGCACAAAACTCAAAATAACAACCTTTGGTTTCCTTTTAGATAAACATCCTCCTTGGTCTCTCTGTGTGAATGTATTTAGTTCTACAAAATTTTATTATAAAGTTCTATTTTTTATACTTTTTATAGTCTTTACTTTCATATGGCTTACAATTACTCTCAGACACTTAAACTGTCATGCTAGCTTTTGTTTTCTGAGCTATAGTAAGTATGAAGCACCTTCTTCATGGTGTAAGGAACCTGAAGGAGCGTGGCCCAGCTTTTCTCTTAATACTGACTGCAACGGGACCGTCTTCAGATATTGAAAATGTTCTCAGAATATTGTCCGTCCCTTTTTATTGTATGGGGGTGATTTTAGAGAGCTTACCCGAGTGGATTCAATGTTTGCAAGTGTAGTAGAAGTCATTATAGAAAATAGGAAAGAATCAAACGTAATGGTATATTTTTTGTTTGCTTGTTTGGCAGGGACCATTTGTTGCAGCCTTTGCTTCATCAAACCTAGGAGACGTGTCCTCGAACATTGCTGGACCTCATTGTACTGACACAGGGGAGTCTTGTGAAAATGCCCAGAGCACTTGTCCCATTGGCGGGGTACGTGAGATGGCACATGGAGTTTCTGTTTGTGTGTCTTATGTATACTTCATGTTCAGTGGTATCCATCACTGATTTCCAAGTATGTTTCCTTGGGTATAACCTCGCCTACTTAACCTCTGGCATCTGTTCTTATTTCGAGAAGCTGTCTAAACTAAAATTTTGGGTGTATTAAGTTGCAGTTTTCTCTTTGATTGGCTGTATAGAGATTAGGTATCTTTCTCTAAACCTGGCCACTCTAAAGTATTTTACCTTTATATATCTGAAGTTTGAAATTTGTTCAAATTTTTTTTTCCTGTGGAGACATTTCCCATTGATTATGTATCATTAGTGTTTAAAAAATACATAGTCTCTAGGCACTGGTGGCTGATGTCTATAATCCTACTTACTCAAGAGCCTAAAATCTAAGGATCCTTATTTTAAGCTAGACTAGGCAGGAAAGCCAATGGGACTCTTATCTTCAATTAAGCACTACAACTGGAAGTGGAGTTGTGGTTCAAGTGGTATAGCACCAGCCTAGAGGAAAAAAAGCTAAGGAAGGGCATTATCCAGGCCTTGAGAGCACACACACACACACACATACACACACACACACACACACACACACACACATAGTGGCCTGTACTAGCACTCATGCTCTCTTGCTCCATATATATGTATAGATAAATTTAGATTATATAATATGTAACATTTACATATATGTAAATTTAGATTGTATTATATAAGATAATAAATATATTAAAATGATTTTAGATTATATTACATAAAATATAATCTAAATCTCTTTTGTCTCTTTTAAAATTATAAACAAAAATTTGCTACAAGAATTCAAGTAACATAGGTGCATAGCGATAATTAAAAATCCCTTTCTACCATACTCTGGCCTTCTAAGAAGTCATTAGTGTACCTCTTCTATACATTTATCCATAGTCATAAACAAAATGTTGTGACTTGTTTATGGATTTTAGGACTTGAGTTTTCTATATCATCATGTCTTGGAAGTCTTTTCATGTTATATCCACATCTTTGTGGCAATTTTCAAAGACAGAAAGTAAGATCATATTCCTGTTTATTTAACTGTTAACCACAGACTTGTTTGAGATCTTGTCTTCAACCTTGATATAAGCAATAGATGCTAGCTTCTAGGTTCTTATTCTTTTTGTTTATAGGCCATTACATCTACAACATTATTTTTGTTATACATTATTTATGGGCTATTCATTGTGTTTTGGTCAACTTTACCCAATAACCAATATTCTGCTAAATACTACTTATTCATATAGATGTGATACTCATTGCCACTCTTCATTTATGATATTTCATGCACTATTGATCTGTATCAAGTTTTAAGATTTCTGGTTAAATGCCAAAGTATGTAAATAAGTTATACATATGTGCAATACAGTATTATGGATCAGTTTAATACCTTGTGTTGGAATATTGATAATGTAGAGAACAGGTCATAATACATAATGTTGAGTACAACAAATAGGATCTAATTTTGAACACTTACTATAATTGTAGTTTTCCAAAACATGTGTTAAAGTTAAAAAAAAAAGTGTGTATGGGAACATTCAGGATGGTTAATGATAATTCTTTTGGAACTTCTGTATGTGGTTTTTATTCCTATATTTATTTATTTTTATACTTTTCTTTTTTTATAAATTTTTTTAATTGTGAAAATACTGTACAGAGGGGTTACAGTTACATGAGTAAGATAATGAGTCCATTGTTATCAGGCATTGTTGCCTCCTCCTTTGTTTTTCCCCTACCATCCCTTCCCTCCCACTTCCACAATGAATATACTTTATTTACTCTTATCATCAGGAAAAATAAGAAGATTCATGTTCCACTGAAAATCTTCTCTCTTTTCTTCCCTCATCTTCTCTCATCTTCCAGATGGTTTCTCTCCCCCCATCCCCTACAGGTGCTCACATGCATCTGTACAGACTGAAATCCTTCTGCCACCTGTGTACTTATTTCCTCTCATGTAGCTGGAATTACATACATAGAATGTCATATACAGATTGTTCTTTGAGATAGGGAGAATCACTGAATTTTTGCTTGGGCTAACCCCAAACCACAATCTTTCTGTGTGTTCCTCTCAAGTAACTGCAATTAAGACATGGACTATGGTGTCTGGTAATTTTTCTATATTGTCAAGAGAAGACAATGTTTCTATATCTTTGTAGATTACATTATAGTAATTATATAATACGTAATGATAAATTAGGATGATAAGCACTTTCAGTTCCTAAATGTTAATTTAGGAATGTTAATTGGAAATGTCATAGACCCCTAAATACATGCATACATATATGTGTATATCTTAAATAAGTGTAACCAATAGTTACCTGATGGTGTTGTGGAAACCAGAACAAAGTCCTGCTATCTCAGTGGCACCCCAGACAGATACCCTAGTTTGTATCCCTTTTCTAACTTCTTTCCATCTTACCCTCACCTTCCATTTTCAGTCTGTAGGGACCACTATTGCACCCCATTCTTCTAGAAGATTATTTCATTTAACATCTGGCCTCTGGTTCTATCAATATTTCTGAAAATCATAGGATTACATCATTATGTAGGGTCATATTGGGTATGTGTACCACATTTTTCTTATTCATTCATCCATCATAGTAGATTTCATACCACAGTTATTATAAATAGTGCTGCAAATAAACACAGGAGTGTAGGAAAGTGTTACAATGTTTCATGTCTTTTGTATATACAAAGGATGATTTTTCTTGCTGAATTTTATAAGCTTCCAAAACATTGAAGTCTTAGTCTATTTGTCATAAACAGTGCAGTAGTTTCCCCTAGTCCATCAGTTATTTTTCAGCCTTGCCTTTTCTCTTCCATGTAGTCATTTAAAGTGGTTATGTGGTAAGACTTTCTGAGCCTGTTTTTATCATCTTTAGAAGGCAAATCCACACCTTAGACTACGTTCACCTATATCTTTCTTAGCATGTTCTTAATTTCATTTATAATTTTTGAATATTTGATCCATCTCAAACTTTTCTGATGTAAGAAACAAGATGCAGAGACTGCCAGATTTTTTTTCATTTCCCTCAGAGTGCCAGCTAATTGTAGCAAAGTTTTAATCAAAGGGGATCCTGACCTTTACTTATCTTTACTTATCCCAGTCACTGTGCTCTACACAAATAGAAGTAACATCCAGTGTTTGCTCAGATATCAGCAACTGTATATTCTGCAACAAATCTTTTCATGTACTTGAGCCTCAGCCTCCTAATTCTTTTTTTTTTTTTTTGCTGGAACTGAGGCTTGAACTCAGGTTCAGGGCATTCTTGCTTAGCTTTTTTGCTCAAGGCTGGTATTCTATTTCTTGAGCCACAGCTATACTTCTGGCTTTTTTGCCAGAACAGAATCTTAAGGAATTTTGTTTGGGCTGGCTTTGAACCTCAATCTTCAGATCTCAGCTTCCTGAGAAGGTAGGATTATAATCATAAACCACCTGTGCCTGGCTTCAACTTTCCAATTTTTAATAGGAAGTCACTAGAATAGATACTTTATAAAAAACGCACATTGTTCCAGCTTTTAAAATATATATCTTATTGTCAAGATACTGTACAGAGGGGTTACAGTTACATAATAAGGTAATGAGTCCATTTCCTATCCAGCCTCTCCTTTGTTACCTCTCCTTTGTTTTCCCCCTACCTTCTCTCCCCTTCCCACCTCCCCAACTCCTCCCTCCCCCCACCTCAAGTTGTAAAGTTTGTTTTCAACATAGTGACTTATACATCTCATTGTTACAATGGGTCAACCTGTATCCTTATTTAGGCATTTTGTTATTTCCCTTCCACTCCCCAAATTACAAAAATGTATGCACAAGATGCAGGACACCGGAATCAAATACAGGGAAAACTATATATGATGTTGTTTGTGCTAATCTGTGAACTGATTATCAGTGAAGAAATACTAAGAAATGTGACTTAAAAATCTGTAATGTTTTCATTTCTTTAAAAAATGAACTATTTTGCTAAGAGTGAAACCTCTCTCCTTATATTCCAGCCCAGCAAGTGCATGGCTCATGGTCCTGGAAAAGACATGTTTGAAAGCACACAGATTATAGGGCGGACCATTTACCAGAAAGCAATGGTAAGTCATAGGTCTGTGCTTTTCAACTTCACTTAAAATCGTCCTGTGAAAGCCGCTGACTTCCTTCATTAGTACGTTGATAATTGCAAAGAAGAAGCAAGAGTTCAGACGATGTCCGAAGTCTAGAAGAGGTCAGCTTTGAAGGCTGACCTCGCCAGCCACATAGGAATTGTGTCTGCTGGGAAAGGATTGAGAAAACCTGTCTTAGAATGGTTAGAAAGCCAGAGCATTTGCCTCAGACAGAAGATGGATAGATGTAAAGTTTTTGTTTTGTTCTGTTTTGGTTTGGTTTGGTTGGTTGTTATTTTTGGTCAGTTGTGGGGCTTGAATTTGGGGCCTGGGCACTGTCCCTCAGCTCTTTAGCTCAAGGCAAGCGCTCTACCACTTGAGCTACAGCACCACTTCTGGTTTACTGGTGGTTAATTGGAGATAAGAGTCTCACAGACTTTCCTTTCAGGGCTGGCCTTGAACTTCGATCCTCAGATCTCAGTTTCCTGAGTAGCTAGGATTACATGTGTGAGCCACCAGTGTTCGGTGTAGTTTTTTTTAATTTAACTTAATTTTTATTAATGTGGTATCACATATGACCACACCGATCTCGATTCTCAGAAATCTCCATGGTCTGCCTGCCCAAAGTCTTCTGGACCAGCTCTGGTATCTTGAATTCCAGTTCTTTTTTTGGTTTTTACTGTCATTGTTTTATTTGGTAAAAGTAGTGTGAGGATTGGGTTAGCCTCATAATATGATTATCCTACCTCTGCTTCCTGAGTAGCTGGGATTACAGGAGTATACCATTGTACTGAGCTCATCTTTTTTTGTTTTTAATTGTAAAGATACTATACAGAGGGGTTAGTTACATGAGTAGGATAATGAATATATTTCCTATCGAGCATTGTTACCTCCTCCACCGATTTTCCCCACCATCACTTCCCTCCCCACCTCCCCACCTCCTCCCTCCACACATACCCCTCCCCCCACCCCAGACATTGTAAAGTTTGTTTTCAACATATATCTCATCTTCACAATGGGTCAATCTGCATCCCCATTTAAGCATTCCGCTATACCCCTACCCCTCCCCAAATTACAAAATTGTATATAAAAGATGCAGAACACCAGAATCAAATACAGTGAAAACAGGGGTTATACCATGGGGGAAGAACTTGCAAAAGAAACAAAAGAATCACATAGTACATTAAAAAAAATAGCAACAAAGAAAAAAACCTCTTGTGTCCCTATCTTGGGGTTCATTTCACTTAACTTCACCTTATCTGGTCATATGTACATAGACTTTGACCTTCTCTGTTTGTCGTAGACATGTATTAGACATTACAAACAAGGGAAACCATGGGACCTATGTTTCTTTGGGCCTGGCTTACTTTACTTAATATAATATTTTTCAACTGTTTCCATTTCCTAACAAATGGGGTGATGCTATTCTTTCTGATGGAGGCATAGAATTCCATTGTATATACATACACCACATTTTCTTGATCCATTCATCTACTGAAGGGCATCAGGGTTGGTTCCATATCTTAGCTATGGTGAATAATATGATAAACATGGTTATGCTGGTAGCTTTGGTATGACCTTGTTTGTGATCATTTGAGTAAATGCTCAAAAGTAGGATTGCTGGGTCATAGGGGAGCTGTATGTGGAGTCTTTTTAGGAACCGCCATACTATTTTCCAAAGTGGTTGAACAAGTTTACACTCCCACCAACAATGCAGTAGGGTTCCCTTTTGGCCACATCCCCTCCAGCATCTGTTGTTACTAGATTTCTTGATATAGCCATTCTGACTGGGGTGAGGAGGAATCTCAATGTTGTCTTGATTTGTATTTCTTTTATGGCTAGAGAAGTTGGAGCTCATCTTTCTTTTAAATTTAAAAAATTTTTATTGTTTTTTTATTTTTTAATTGAGAAGGTTATGAGCTAGGGAGTTACAGTTATATAGTTACGGCAATAAATACTTCGTTTTTAATCATCATTACCCCAACCCTCTTTATAGCCCACTTACCCCTCCCTATCCTTGCTCCCCCAAGTTGTAATGTTCATATCCAACAATGTCAAGTGAGTATCAATGTTGCTGTGGTTCAACCTTTGTTCTGCTGTTTCTGTCATTCTCTTTCCCTTTCACATATTGTATTGTGTATTATGCAAAACACGAGGTACAAAAAACTAAGAGAAATGACGAAAGAGAAAACAACAATAGAGAAAGAAGAATGAATCATATACAGGGTCTAATGAGAACCTCTTGTTTCCATAAGTTGGAGTTCATGTTAATATGCTTCATTATATATAGTCTTTTGCATTAATCACTTGGATTATTGAGATCTCCTGTTAAGAATATCATATACATATTCTAGTTCTTACAAATGAGGGAGATCATGGGGGCTGCTTTTCTTGGTTCTGGCTTACTTCGCTTAATATAATTTTTTTCCAAGTCTTTCCATTTTTATGAATGGAACAATGTTATTCTTTCTGATGGAAGCATAGAATTCCATTGTGTATATGTGTCACATTTTCTTGATCCATTCATCTACTGAGGGGCATTTGGATTGGTTGCATATCTTGGCTATGGTTTCTTTGGCGGTCGTGTGGCTTGAACTCTGGGCCTGGGTGCTGTCACTCAGTTCTTCAGCTCAAGGGTAGCGCTTTACTACTTGAGCCACAGCACCACTTCCTGTTTTCAAGTAGTTTATTGGAGTTTCACAGACTTTCCTGCCCAGGCTGGCTTTGAACTGTGGTCCTCAGATCTTAGCCTCCTAAGTAGCTAGGATTACAGGTGTGAACCACCCGAGCCTGGTGGCTATGGTAAATAATGCTTCGATGAATGTTGTTGTACTTTTCTTTTAAAGAGACTTCTGATTAAAAGAGACTGGATTATAATGATATTGCTATGAATTCACTATTACCATTATCTTTCTGTGTCTCCTAAAATTTTTAAAAATGAGTTTTTATTGTGAAAATGCTGTACAGAGGGGTTACAATCACATGAGCAAAGTAATGAGTACATTTCTTATCAAGCATTGTTGCCTCCTCCTTTGTTTTTTCACTACCATCCCTTCCCTCCCACCTCCACATTCCCCTCTCCCCCACCTAAATTGTAAAGTTCATTTTTCGACATAGCGTCTTGTACATTTCATTGTTGCAATGGGCCATCCTGTATCCCTGTTTAAACAATTTGTTTTTTTCCCTTCCGCTCCCCAAATTATACCAACATCAAATACAGTGAAAACAGGGGTGATACTGTGGGGGAGGGACATACAAAGCAGCAAAAAAAAAATCACGTGGTACCTTATAAATACATTAGAAACAATAGCAAGAAAGAAAAAACGACTTGTGTCCTTATCTTGGGGTTCATTTCACTTACTATCATCTTATCTGACCTTTTTCTGCTTGTTTCAGATATATACTAGTTATTGCAAATAAGGAACCATGGGACCTATGTTTCTTTGTGCCTGGCTTACTTCACTTAATATAAATTTTTCCAAGTCTTTCCATTTCCTAACAAATGGGGCAATGTCAATCTTCACTAGCCATACAACAGACAAGGGTCTCATAACTAAAATATACCTGGAACTTAAAAATTTTAATCCCCCAACAACAAATCCTCAAAGAAACAACTGCCCAATAAATAAGTGGGCTAAAGACTTACAGAGAAACTTCTCTGAAGAGGAAATAAGAATGGCCAATAGACACATGAAGAAATGAGCAACCTCCCTAGCCATAAAAATCAAAACAACATTTAGATACCACCTCACCACTATTAGAATGTCTATAATCAAAAAATCTAATAACTACAGATGCTGGAGGGGATGTGGACAGAAGGGAACCCTACTGCATTGTTGGTAGGTATAAACTTGTCCAACCACTTTGGAAACTAGTATAGAGGTTCCTCAAAAGACTCCACATAGAGCTCCCCTATGACCCAACAATCCCACTTTGGGGCATTTACCCGAATGATCTCCTAAAATTTATCTTTCATGTTACCCTCATGTTTTCTCCCAGCTTCCATGAAGACAAATTTTTTTTAAATTTTGTTTTTGTTTGGACTGATTTCTGAGGGAAAATAGAAAGAGTCTGAATGACATGTGCTTCATAGTGAAATCCCTCTATCTTAATAGCTTATTCATGCCTTTGTCGTGTGTGTGTGTGTGTGTGTGTGTGTGTGTGTGTGTGTGTGTGTGTTTAAGTAAATAATTTATTCCCAGAGTTCTAAATATCCCAGGAGCAATAAAGGCAGAGCTGAAGTGCTTTAAAAACATGAGACATGAGAGTGCTTGTAGCAGACAGCAGCTAAAGTTTCTTTTTAATTAGGGTGGTATTATCAGTGGATTGTTCTAAATTAACAAATTCTATTTAGGTTGTGGGCTTGTGACACACTTTGATGTCAGAAATTTTGTTACCTTCCTAGGTCTGGGAGCCAGGAAGTTCTGTTCCAAGTTCTGCATTCTCTTCTCAGCAAAGCAAGCTTGCTCTTAATTAGGAGAGAAATGCTATAGCCAGGGTTCTGGCCACTTACCCTTAGAGCTCTTATGTGGCCATTGGAAGAGGACATGCACTAGGTGTCAGCTCATGGAACTTGCACTGATAGTTCACTTACATGTCTGAAACCCATGAACCAACAGAAACCTACCCAAATATATTGACTATTATTTTCCACAAGATTGAAAATGCATCAGCTGGCTATATTAAACTCTCTCTCTCTCTCTCTCTCTCTCACACACACACACACACACACACACACTCACACCAAAAGAGTTGATACACAATTGGGGTCTGATTTCTTTTTTAAAAAAAACTTATTTTTACTTTTATTGGTCGTGGGGCTTGAATTCTGGGCCTGGGCGCTGTCCCTCAGCTCTTCAGCTCAAGGCTAGCGTTTTACCTCTTGAGCCACAGCACCACTTCTGGCTTTTTCTGCTTATGTGGTGTTGAGGAATTGAACCCAGGGCCTCATGCGTGCAAGGCAAGCACTCTACCACTGAGCCACCTTTCCAGCCCTCTGATTTCTTTTAAGTAACTTGGCCCCTGGCCTGTCAAACTCAAGGATCTTGAGAAAACAAACTTCAAAAAGAATACTGCCTAAGAAAATATGCTCTCATTGGCTCAAATGAGAAGAACTTTGGCCCTCTTCTCATCTTAAATTTTCTTGGTTAGCTCTGTATGGTGGGCCATCCCTGTAATCTCTGCTATTTGGGAGGTAGAGCTGGATGGATCATCATCCCCAGCTGGCCGGAGCAAAAGTGGGACTCCACTTGAAAAACAAACTAAAATTTAAGAAAAACAAGAAACAACAACAACAACAAAATAAGATATGGCTCAAGTAGTATAGTATCAGCCTATCAAGTGCATAATTTCCTTAGCTGCCTTTCAAGTGGTATTGGTGCTATTTGTGTCACAATCTGTACAATTAGAATTTCGTATTTGTGGGGCATAAACAGATCAGCAGTTTCCCAGCCTTCGAGCTTCTGGGACACACCTGGGCTGAGTGGAGGTAGCCATGTGGACAGCAGCTGTTTCAAAGCAGTCAGTGGAGCACCTCCTAGTGGAGGAATGCTCTCCAGACTGGTGCTTCCTGGGACCACAGGTGGAACTCACTCCACCTCAGCTCATTCCTCTGGGACAGTAATTCTGCCTGGCTCTTCTAGGAACTCTATGTCTCTGCTTCCAAAGAGGTGACGGGACGCGTGGCTACGGCTCACCAGTGGGTGAACATGACCGACCTGAGCATCCAGCTCAATTCCACACACACAGTAAGCGTGGCGGAGTCGCGTGGGTCATGCCAAAAGGACAGAGCTGGGGTGATCGCTTTATTGTTTTTGCTTGACTTCACTTTCTTCTTTGGCTCTTGTTCTGCTTTTAAAAATCTTTCCTTTAGGTGAAGCTATGTAAACCAGCCTTGGGCTACAGTTTTGCAGCCGGCACCATCGATGGAGTTTCAGGCCTCAATATTACACAGGGTGAGTTTCAAGCCCAGGGGATCCCAACTTCCCACGTTTCAGCTTCATGTTCTCTTCGCTCATAAGGTTTAACTTCAGCCAGTGCATTCATTATTTTCAGTTTTTCAAGGTTTGTACGTATCAGCTTATATCTTCCAGGAGTAGGGGTCTTTTTAACTTAGCTTTCTGCTCATTCAGATTTAATTAGAGACAAAGTCTCCTTGCATTCCATTCTGTTGATGACTTCAATGAATTTACTTAATTATTTTATAGTTATTCCTCAGTGTGTGTGTGTGTGTGTGTGTGTGTGTGTGTGTAAGTCCTGGAGTGTGATCTAAGGCCTGTGAACTGTTTCTGTGTGTGTGTGTGTGTGTGTGTGTGTGTATATATAAGTGCTGGAGTGTGATCTAAGGCCTGGGAACTGTTTCTGTGTGTGTGTGTGTGTGTGTGTGTGTGTGTGTGTGTGTGTGTGTGTAAGTCCTGGAGTGTGATCTAAGGCCTAGGAACTGTTTCTGAGGCTTTTTTTTTTGGTGGTGGTGTTCAAAGTTAGTGCTCTATCAGTTGAGTCACAGCTCCACTTCCAGCTTTTTTGGAGGTTAATTGGAGATAAGAATCTCATGAACGTTCTTACCCTGGCTGACCTAGAACCTAGAATCTCAGAGTTCTGAATAGGTAGGATTGCAGGCATGATCCACCAGCATCTGGCTTTTTATGATTATTTGAAATTGATAGATAATCATTATACAACTTTATGGAATGCAATGTGATATCTTAGGTCCTATTTTTTTCACACCTTGGTCAATGCTTGTTCTTATCTGACATATTGATGGCAGCCCTTCTATTAGGTGTGGAGCATATGGGTTTTAGAGTTTTCAGTCCTACCTAGCATCATATAGCAAAATACAGGTCCTGGACACAGCATGGTGCTCACTTTCCATTGCAACCCTCAGGTGATAGGACCTGGTCCTTACCAGGGAATCTTAGGCTTTTAGCCCCAGAGTCCTTTACTGCTTCAGCTACCTGTTGCTTGAGCTTCCTGTATCTCCCCCTCCACTTCTTGCTATTTATTCATTTCTTTAGTACAGGCACTGGGGCTTGAACTCTTGACTTCAGGTGCTCTACCACTTGAGCCATACTTCCAGCTCTACAACAACTTATTGTGGCCATCTTCCACTCAGATACTATGAAGGAGTATCTCAGGACTGCCTGAGCTGTATACACCATGAGACATAACATTGTCTTTAGTACAATCATTTTGTTGATTGTTAAATAAATTTGCTAGGGTTCTTTCTGTTTTTCTAACTATCCCACATAGGTTCAAAACCATCCTTAAAAACATGAGTAGTCACAGCCAAATATTAAATTCCTGGCCAAATGGATATGGTTGTATAGAGCCCTAAAGTCTTCAACACTAATTTAGAGATCAGTTGAAAGTTGGCTTGCCAAGTTTTCTTTATATCACTTTTATGAAACTAAAGTTTTGGTTTGTTCTTCAGGGGATGTTTAATATAATATTGTAGATTAGTATCTTCCTGATCAGATTCTGTTTTCTCCTCTTCTGTAGGAGGGGGATTAGGAGTGTGGGTGATTTGGGTTTCATAGTTGTCATGTTAGATCAATCTTCCACTTTTTTTTAGATAGAATCATCTTGCTGCTATGTAGACCAGGCATGTCTCAAATTGTGGTCCTCTTGTTTCTTCTACCTTCTGAGTACTGGAATTACAGGCATGCACCACCATGCCTACCTCTCCCTAATTCTTTCCCTCTTACTTATTTCTAATTTTATTCTACTGTGTTTGGAACACAAAATTGTATCATTTTATTTTTACCTTCTAAAATGAATTGAGTTTCATTTATACTCTGTCCTAGGTGATTTTCCATGTGCACTTGAAAATATATTTTGTTGTTGTAGGATAGAGTATTGGTTTTCTGTTAGAACTAATTGGTTTCTAGTAGCATTCAAGTTTTCTATGTCTCGGCTAAGCTGTCTAGTTGTTCTATTCATTATTAAATATTCCACAATTATTGATGAGTTTCCTATTTTTCCTTTCCTGTCAGTTTTATTTTATTTTTTTCCTTGGCTGTTAGGTCCCGAAGTGTTTAAAATTACTGTGTTTTCCTGATCATTAGAGGTTCTGAATTTTCATAGATTTTTATAGTTAAAATATTTTGTCTGACATTATACATTTGGGGCTTGCTTTTTGTTTTTACTCTATATTCATGTGGGTTTGGATGAATATTCAAGAGGGACTGTTTCAATGACACAAGCCAGACAACTGACATTACAAGCTATTCCTAATTGTAAAATAGGAAAAATGTAGCCTGGCACCAGTGGCTCACACCTGTAATCCTAGCTCCTCAGGAGGATGAGATCTGAGGATCACTGGTTGAACCAGCCCAAGCAGGAGAGGCCGTGAAACTCTTTATCTCCAATTAACCACGAATAAGCCAAAAGTGGAAATGTACCTCAAGTGGTAGAATGCTAGCCTTGAGCAAAAAAGCTCAGGAACACCATGCAGGCCTCAAGTTCAAGTCCTAGGACTGGCACAACAAAAAAAGTGATTTAGCTCTCAAATATGTTAATTAAACAAAAATGTTTTCATTTACAAAATAAACCAGGATAATAAATGTAAAATCTTGAGGATATTGAACAAAACATAGTCTCTTAATTCTCTTGTACACTAATTAAGTAATGATTTTTAATTTGGGACACACAGGAAATTCTTCCTCTTCTATTATTTAAATTGTTTGAATAATTGGACAACAACCTTAATAAAATCTCTGAAACCTATAGAAGGATTATTGTACAATATTTGTGTCAGTGGCCCTTCTTTTAGAGGCCTTGTAACATTGTTTATAGGGACAACCAAACCAGATCCCTTTTGGGACATCCTTCGGGACCAGCTCCTGGGCAGACCATCTGATGAAATAAAAGAATGTCATAAGCCAAAACCAATATTACTTCACACTGGAGAGGTAAGGCAGTTACTGGTTATCATATGAAATTAGTATATAGTTGTTTGTAAAGTTGAGAACTATCAGATAATGAGTGGGAGATGCTTACTGACAGAAGAGATTTTCTTTAGTGACTCTCTCATAAAAAATTTAATATTAAAATATGCCCTTAGAAATAAAATAAAATATTCTTTTAACACTTCCTCTAGAACATGCTTTTTGCCTTCTAAATATTGAAACATCATTTCAGTATTCATGAAAATGTAGATTGTTTGAATGAGCAAGATTAAAAAAATGTATTTTAAAAAATAGTCTACTAAAGTTCTTAAGGAAGCAGAGAGAGGAAAGGAAGAAATGGAAGGATAGGCTACACAAATTTGAATGTGGAAAATCATAGGTTTTCTTGGAGAAACCTTGGAAAATAAAGCAAGATGTGGGAACTGTAAACTTGAAGTGCAATTAGGGTCAAGTGCTAATAGGATAAACTATTTCAAATGGTATTCATCATGTGTAAGGACAGTTATACAATGTTTTAGGGGAACACTTGGTTATTTGTTACCTATTGTTTACTCCAGAATGGCAAATCTACCCAAAAATTAATTGATATGGTCAGGTACCTATAGCATTAACGTGTGAGATTCACATGTTATGATCAAGACATATTCACCCACATGACATTTAATATTATATGAAAAGTTGGAAGTAAATCCTATGGTAGGATAAAAAACATGAAAACGAGCTTCAGATAGATCTTCAAATAAAGAAATTTCGGTGATCATGTCTGTGTTCTACAGAAAGAATAATATACTTAACACATTTTTTTCCCTTTCATTAGCTATCCATACCTCATCCGTGGCATCCAGATATTGTTGATGTTCAGATAATTACTCTTGGGTCCTTGGCCATAGCTGCTGTTCCTGGAGAATTTACGTGAGTTCTTTTTGAAACTCAGTTTAAAAATGTATTTGTTGTGTGTTCTGGTTAAAAATAATTGTTATGAAGACAAGTGTATACCGATCTTTTCATCTCCTTTGACGACTGTGACAAATATTTCTACCTTCTTTTGGTGAGGCTTATGAAGAATAAATCTTTCTATGCCTATTACTACTGGGTAACCAGAAACAAATGTGAAAATTTATGAGCTTTTCATCTTAAAGCAAAATAATGCTATGAGTTATACCAGTATAGACACTTGAAATATTATGAAAATGAAGATATATAAGATGATTGTTTACATGTTAAAAATGTGGGAGAATGTTTAAGCCTTCTTATATCATCTTACCCACCTCAGGAAATTTCAGATTCGTACTTACCAGTTGCTCAGGCCCTATATCTTGAAATTACCCTTGAATTAATTTCTCTTCAGCAAATCCTGTGCATTCTATATTCTTCTCAGGGTTTCTTATCATCCACCTTCTAAGCCACTACTTCTCTCGCTCAAACTATTATTTTTTCTACTTTTTATTGTAAAAACACTGTACAGAGGGGTTACATGAGCAAGGTAATAAGTACATTTCCTATCGAGCATTGTTACCCCCTCCTTTGTTTTTCTCCTACCATCCCTTCCTTCCCCACCTCCCCAACTACCCCCCTGCACCCTCCGAAGTTGTAAAGCTTGTTTTCAAATAGTGTCTTGTACATCTCATTGTTACAATGGGTCAACCTGTATCCCTGTTTAAGCTTTTTGTTTTTTCCCTTCCCCTCCCCAAATTAGAAAAAATGTATATATAAGACACAGGACACCAGAATCAAATACAGTGAAAACAGGGGTTATACTGTGGGGGAGGAACATACCAAAGAAACAAAAAAAATCACATAGTACATTATAAATATGTTAAAAACAATAGCAAGAAAGAAAAAAACCATTTGTATCCCTATTTTGGAGTTCATTTTGCTTAACATCATCTTATATGGTCATCTGTACATAGCTTTTGACCTTTTCTGCTTGTCCTAAACTTATACTAGTTATTGCAAATAAGGGAAACCATGGGACCTATGTTTCTTTGGGCCTGGCTTACTTCACTTAATATAATTTTTCCAAGTCTTTACATTTGATCTGCTTGATTTCTCTTTTACTCCTGAATAGACTTTTTTTCAGTGTATCAGCTAGATTAATTATTCTAACATAATTTTCCTAAGTTAAATAATAATACTTTTCTGCTCAGTTCCCCAATCCCACCAAGTTTTCCATCTCATTTCAGGCACAGCCTTACATTCTCACAACTTCCTACAAGTTTCCCCATGTTCTGCTCCTCAGTAAGGTCCTTGGTGTGACTTTTTTCCATTTTCCACCTTGCTCACCCCTGCACCAGCCATCTTGTTAATTGTCAAGGTATTGGCTGTAAGGGAAATCCACATGCACTTCCTAAACTCACTAAGATTGCTCTTGACTCAGGGCCTTTTCACTCTGCCTGAAATGCAGTCTCTTTATGTATTTTAATTACTTGCTATGTCTTCTCTTCCTCTTTTTAAGCATTATCTTTAAATAGTTGTTCAAAAGTGTTTGGATTCAGCATGTCAGTTTGTGTGTGTGATGTGCCCCTTCTGTCATTCTTCCCCCCAAATCTATCCCACCCCTACCTATCCCTTCAAGTTTCCTAGTTCCATTTAAATATATATATATATATATATATATATATATCTGTATATATATACATATACATTGAATGTTATGACTTTATTCACCAATGTTCTCCTCTCCATTCTGTCATCCTATTTTTTGTTTACATCTCCAATATGGGTGGCATTTCTGCCTATACTACCTAAAATAGTCTTCACCCACATTAGCACCGCTACCACCATCACCACCACAATAACCAAGACCACTCCCTTATCCCTGTGCTCATGGCTATCTTACTTTTACATTTATTTGTTGACTGTCCACCTACTAATATGTAAGCTCTGTACTCTTGACTCATCATCAGTTATACAGAGTCTTTTCATGTAGCTTAAACCCAGCTGGTACACTTTTTCCTTGTCCCTCGGCTCTTACTAACATAGAATGCAGTTGATAGATTTTGTGGCGTCAGTGAATAGAAAATGAAGATGATCTTTGGTTAGTGATATCACCCACTTATTCTGTTTTTTTTTTTCCTTTGGCCAAACTGGCTGCTGTCAGCTTTTGATTTTCCTAGAAGATAGGACAATCACTAAAAAGAAGTTAAACTTTAGCTTTGGATCATTATTAAGTCTTCTATAATTTATTGTGGTGTGATGAGCCAGGGCAGTGGTTTGGCTTTTACTGAATGTCTTTTTGAATACACCATGTATCCTAACTGGCAAAACATTCATGGAATTCTTTTTACTTGACTCAGGACCATGTCTGGACGAAGATTTCGAGAGGCAGTTCAAGCAGTAAGTAAAATATGAAATAAAGTATCTACACACTTTTATTTGGTGAAGAGCAAAGAATTCCTGCTCCAATTAGCCATTTGTTTCAAGAATTTTCCAAGATGACTAGAAGATGTCTTTGTTGATAGGACCATTAAAATACCCATAGACCTACTAATTTGCTTAGCAGTAATGTAGAGTTATGTTTCTGACTTTTCATAAAATACTCTTCTATATTTCTATATTCCTATGTTGTGGATTTGACCACTGAGAATATTTCATTAAGAGAAATATACTAGCAATTCCCATAATTTACTTGTACCTTAAATATGACTGAGAAATAATAACTTTAAAATGAGTAACAATTTTACTAGGCTTTACTTTTTCCTCCTAGGAATTTTCATCTTACGGGATGAAGGGCATGACTGTTGTGATTGCAGGCCTGTGTAATGTGTACACACATTACATTGCCACGTACGAAGAATACCAGGTAAAGTAAAACAATTCTCACCTTTAAATGAATTTTACTATGGTTAAGACTGCTGTGTCAAATGAGATTTTCTTGGCTTCACAATCATATTTCTAAGAGCTGAGTTTGTTTTAGGTAGTGATATAAGAGAAAGATAAGCTAGAGGTAGTTGTTTGGAGTTTTAGGTTCATAAGTTCCAGTTCAGGCCAGAATTCTAGTCTCATTGACTTCCACCATCCCTAAAAACAATGATTTTTTTGTCATTGCCTTAAACCTCTACAGAAGTTGGGAAAACACTCAGGGACAGCCACCATTTATTGAATACATTATTTTTTGAGAGACTTTAAAATATAATCTCAAATGATCTCGTATAGAAGTTGAGAATACTCTCCATGGCAGCCATTATCTTTTGAGCACATGATTTATTGAAAGTACTTTAAAATATAATCTTAAATAATCTTTATAGTACATCTTGAAATAGGGTATAGTTTACACATGATATAGATCAAGAAACAGTGTTCTGAGAATTTAGGATATACTGAAGACTGGTATTGTTTCTTTGTTTCTAAGTAGTCTAGAAGTAGGTCAAATGCCTTTCAACAATAGTGGTTTAACACTGAAACTTCTCTAAAGTTCCACAATGAAAACATTCTAATACAATTGCTGGCATATCCTGCACACCCATTCAGCAGCATAAATCCTTGGCAAATTATACCAGCAGTGAAATCTCTGGTGTTGCCTGCTCTCTGTTTGCTTTACTGAGGGCCCACACTTAGGAAATCTTGTTTGTGTTAGTCAGCTATAAAAAAAATCACCTGATACTATCCACTGAGAAAGAAGAGAGGTTGTGCTGTCTCACATGCTTGGGAGACCCTTTGCTTTTAGATCTTGGTAAGGGTTCTGGACGGCAAATGAAGGTGTATGTGGTAGAGCAAAACGATTTGCCTAATATCCAGGAAATGAGAGGAAGAGACAGGGGCTTAAGTCTCAGCCTCTTCTTTTAGAGTATGCTGCCACTGTCCTAATGATTTCCTACTAGGGGAAGAGGGACTTAGTAAGTTTCTGTTACCTCCAAATAGCAATTTGCTGGAGACCATGATTTTACCACATAGAACCTGTGGAGGACATTCTAGATCTGAAATATGGCACTGTTGAATAAATGTTCCTGAGGTGAAATGGGATTGGAATAACAATATTCTCTTTCACTCTTCTGCGTTATTTAGCATGTCCTTCAATTATGAATTCCAGTAATAATGCAATAAGAATATTAGCAATATTTCTGACTTTGTTCCCAATAGGGGTCATAATATTTTAATATGACATATAGCTATTGTAGATACAGAAGTGTCTTTTATTCTTATTTTTATTAAAAATCACATTAGATCTATATCTACTCATATCCACTATTAGATCATGTTGCATGGAAGCATAGTGAAAAAGCATAGCATTCCTATCTCACAACATTGCTATAGTCTGATAAGACTATTTCAACCTGGCTTTCTTCATCAACCTCACATATTTTTTATTTTATGCACTTAGAACAATTATCCATGGCATGAAGAGCTCATTCAAGGTTGTGCTCCTAGAAGGACTGCTATAAACTCGCTAATTAATTAGGTCAACATATACATACTATGACAGATACTCTGCTAATTACTTCCTAGGACATAGCAATAAGAATAAGATACAAAATCTGTTCCTCTCCTCAAGACCCCTAGAAGCTAATGGTCTAGTGGAGAGAGGGGGGGGGGAATCTAACTCTTGTAGAAAGCATGGCTTAGGTGATTAAAAAAACAATGAGAAAGTTTTAGATTATACTGCGTATTTGAGGATGAGAACTGGTAGACATGAAGGAAAGAAGATGTGACACCTGTATGAGTTCTTTAAGACCAAGTGATGACTAGTTGAATAAAACCTAGGAAGGTGTTGTCTATACAGAGGAGCACATGCAAAGGCCTAGACAGGCAGACGCTGCCCACTGATAGGCTAGAGTTAGTGCAGTACCATGTAGTAAATGTGAGGGAGACATAAGGGCTGGAGTGGAAGGCAGGGGTTCATTGAAAGGAAGAGTGTTAAGTGCAGTGCAGCAGAGCTTTGGCTCAGAAAGGAAGGTACTAAAGAGTTGTAGTAGGATCCAAAGCAGGAGAATGCTTTGATCCCCTTTGTGATTTAGTAAGGTCTCTAGGATGGCAGTGTGGAAAATGAACTGGAAAGATGTGTATGGAGATAGAACTGATTGCAAAGTTTTAGGTAAGATGTGGGTAAAGAAAAGGTAAAGATAGCAGAGACAAAGGAAAATGACATACTTGAGTGATTTCTTTTGTGCTAGTTCTGGGGCTTGAACTTGGGATCTGGGCACTGTGACCCTGAGCTTGTTTTTTCTCAAGGCTAGTGCTCTACCACTCTGAGCCACAGTGCTATTCTCAGCTTTTTGGTAGTTAAATGGGACTTTCTTTTTGGAAAATCTTTGGAGAATAGTGGTCCAACTCCAACTTATATTTGTATTAATCCTACTCAGAAAAAAAATACTCATATGGAAAATAGTATCTCTTTACTTTGCACAATGATTGTGAAAATAAAGCAATAATACATATCACCAGACATAGATGGCTCACTTCTATAATCCTGCCAAAGGTGATTTTGAATGGTGATTCTTAGATCTCAGCCTCCTAAGTAGCTAGGATTACAGGTGTAAGCCACCAATGCCTGGCCCCACTTAAGAACTTTATGGAAGTGGAATGACATGATGGGTAGACCTAACAGGATATATGATGGGAAGAAAGAAGATGGTTCTCACATCAGAGAATGGAAGGATGGCATTCACTGGGATATACAAGTCTGCAGGTGTATCTGATGCTGAGTACTCTTTTAGATTGGACGTCTTTGAAGTTCCAATGGGAAAATTCAAAAGGCTAGGAATGCAGCTGAAGAATTAACTTGGCTATATTTCACACCTCTGTGTTGGATTAAGTCTTCTTACATAGGTTACCAACAGCACCCAATTTATTCCTCCTTTATTTTTCCATGTGCTCCGAGAAAAAGCATTTATATTGCAAGTAAGAGCTTTCAAATTAATGGAACAGCAATGTAAATGGCATAAGCAAAGGGAACATGCTGCCTTTCATTCCTAGCTGATGGGAGCCATTTGGTTTGGTTGGTAAATGGAATTTTCACTGTCACTTTTCACAAGTAGCACTGATGATTATGCAGAGGTGCTTAAACCCTGTATCTGGACTGAAATACACAGAACCAACTACATTTCACCTTGCTTCCTCTGCAGGCTCAGCGGTATGAGGCAGCATCTACAATTTATGGGCCTCAGACTTTGTCTGCTTATCTCCACCTCTTTAAAGCCCTGGCTAAGGCTATTGCTACGGTAATCAAATTGCATTTGTGTGAGGGGGTGGGGGTGGTGGTGTGGCTGTGTGTTTGTGTGTTTGCCTCAGTATGTGGAGGTAGAGAGGAAAGCAAGAGAAAAATCTTAGTTTCATGTGCTCAATTGCTTTGACAAGTTGTGTGTTAAGGAATTGTAGGGACCCCTGCAAATGTGTTATCAATGAAAGATATGTGAAACTATATTGGTAGTAAAATACTAATTCAGTTAACACCCATTAGTGGTCGAAACCATTTTTGTATGTATGTATATTCTTATTTTTATTATTGGTATCACAACTTGAACTAGGGGCCTCATGTTTGCTTGCTTTTCTTGCCTATGGCTGGCAGTCTACCATTTGTGCTATTTCTCCAGACTGGCTTTTTGCTGGCTTATTGGAGACTGTAAACTGTGATCCTCTAGATCTCAGTCTCCTGAGTAGCTAGGATTGTAGGAGTGAGCTATCTATCTGTGCCTGATGATATGTACTATTTCTTTATTCTCACAATCATTCTGTAAAGAGGTACTATTCCTCATGTTTTCCCAATGAGGGAAACATGTTAAAGATTAATCAGTGAGTAGGATTAATGTAAATGTAAGTCAGAGTTGGACAGCTATTCTCCAATCCTTTCCAGAAACACAGAGCATTAAGTATATATCAAGGGTTATTTAAAACTTGAGGTCCATATTTTAATGACACAAAGGTGGTAAAACTTATAGAAAACAGGGCAAACAGTCAGTCACTGGCATTTACATTTTAAATTAAAAGGTGTGTATTAAATTTTAGCACAAACAAGGACACAGAAGAAAATCTTGATTCTAAGATTTCCACAGTGTTGTGAAAGAATCTCAACACAGTAAAAATTCTCCAGTAATGAGAGTGTCTTGTATTAGATTCTTGTTCAAGATCACACAAATGAACGATGGAAGTACACCGGGTAGTGTTTCCATGTGGTCTGTCTGATTTCTAGCTTACACTGCCTAGGGAAATAAAACAGCACCTTTCCATCAAAACTTTCTTCTAGTAACAAAAAGTGAAATAATCAATACCTCCCAGCATATATTAGAAGGGCTCCCCTCAGATTTTGGTAAAACCTAATAGCTTTTATGGTGTGTGTGTGTGTGTGTGTGTATTTGTATGTACACTTTCTACTTTCTTTAGTTCAGGCATTTCTGATCGTTCAGGTCTGGGGACAGAGTCTTTGACTCTGTATTTGTTCATTCCTTAAACCAATGCTTTCTGTTTCAGGATACAGTAGCCAACATGAGCAGTGGTCCAGAGCCTCCATTTTTCAAGCATCTAATACCTCCATTAATTCCTAATACGGTGGACAGAACACCAATAGGCAGAAATTTTGGGGATGTCTTGCAGCCAGCAAAATCTACATACAAAGTGGTAAGACCCACAGAGTAATCTTTTTTTGCAGTTCCATTTCTTTTTTTTAAATTTAATTTTATTGTCAAGGTGATGTACAGAGGGGTGACAATTACATGCATAAGATAGTGAATACATTTCTTGTCAAACTTCTTACCCGCTCTCTCATTTTCTTCCCCCAACCCCTGTCCCCAAGTTGTACAGTTCATTCCAACATATTGTCTTGTGAGTATCGCTGTTGCATTGGTTCACCCTTTGTCATTTGTCTCAACATTTTGTTGTTCCCTTTCCCTTCCCTAATTCAGATAAAGGCATATAAAATACCCAGGGTACCAAAACCAAATACAGTGACAACATGGGATAAACCATAGGAAACAACACACAAAAGAAAAAAAATCAGAGTAATCTTAAAATATTTCAGGGACCTATTTTTGGAGGTGAAGGAAGGATGTTGATGATCTTCTGTTGATCCATAAACCAATCTTAACACTGATAATTTTGACAATTGTTCTTGAGCAAGGTCTACACAGAGGATGGAGAATGGAAAATTCTGGCTCTTTTCCTGGGGATAACCAAGTAAAGTGAAATTTGTGAATTAGAAATTATTCTTTTTCTTTTCTTTTTTTTGGGGCGAGGGGTCTAGTCATGGGGCCTGAACTCTGGGCCTGGGTGCTGTCCCTCAGCTCTTCAGCTCAAGGCTAGCACTCTACCACTTGAGCCACAGCGCCACTTCCAGCTTTTTTCTTTTTGCTTATGTGGTGCTGAAGAATCGAACCCAGGGCCTCATGCATGCAAGGCAAGCGCTCTACCACTGAGCCACCTTCCCAGCCCAAATTATTCTTTTTTTTAAGTGGGCATTTAAAGAATCATACACTAGAGCTAACAGAAGTTGCCTTTTAAATCAGGGATAGGAAACCACAGAAATAATGGAGGATCAAGTAAAGGTAGAACACCTGTTTAGCAAACACGAAGTTTTGAGTTCAATGAATTAAAAAAAAAAAAAAAACCTGAAGCAGGATTGGTACCACTACATTTTAAGTTGACCTGTTCCTGCAACCTTGCTAAATTATTTATTTGTTCCAACAGTATTATGATATGAATGTCTACATATAGTTATATGTCTTATAAATTAAAATACTTTACATATTCCTTTTTAGATTTCTTTTCTGGATGCCTTTAGTTTTATTTTTTCCTTATTATATAGTCTAGGCTCCAATATGGTGTATAACAATTCAGAAGTATAACAATAGAGAATCTTGTTTCTTATCTTTAAGGAAAATATTTTGGGTTTTCCTATATTTTTATTAGTGTATATGAATTGTAAGAAAGGTTTCATTGGGCTACTTTGATATATTCATGTAACAGACTGTGATCAATTTCACTGCCTGTTTAACCTCATGAGTTTATTTGTTGTTGTTGTTTTTTTTTTGTGTGTGTGTGTCGGTCATGAGGCTTGAACTCTGAGCCTGAGTGCTGTCCCTCAGCTCTTCAGCTCAAGGCTAGCACTCTATCACTTGATCCACAGTGCCACTTCCGATTTTCTGGTAGTTTATTGGAGATAAGAGTTTCATGGACTTTCCTGCTCAGACTGGCTTTGAACCACCATCCTCAGATCTCAGCCTCCTGAGTAGCTAGGATTATAGGCATGAGCCACCAGCTCCTGGCTTGGGATTTTTGTAGATAAATTTAATGAAGCTAGAACAGTTACTTCTTTTTTATGCCTAGTTTAAGGAGAATTTTTACTGGGCATGGGTGTTGGACATTTGCAAATGGTTTCTCTGTGCTACTAAGGTGATTATGTGGTTTTAAAAAATTCTATTGCCAGGCAACTTGGCTCACACTTGTAAGTCTAGCTACTCAGAAGGCTGAGATCTGGAGGTTTGTGGTTCAATGCTAGCAAAAAGATTCTGTCTCTAAAGTAACCCACACAAAGCAGGGTTATATGTATGGCTTAAGTAATAGAGTATCAGCTAAGCAAGCACAAGACTCTGAATTGAAAACTCTAGAACCATACGAGTGTGTGTGTGTGTGTGTGTGTGTGTGTGTGTGTGTGTGCACGCGCACATACGCACAGTGGCACAAACTCACAAATTTGTTAACATGGGATGCTGCATTAATTGATTTTCAAATATCAAATGATCATTTAGTCATGGTTTATAGTGCTTTTTTATGTTGCTAAATTTGATTTGCTAATGTATTGCCAAGTAATTTTACACATATGTTATGAGAAATGTTTGTGGCTTTCTATTCATGTGTTTTCTTTACCTGCACAGGTTGCACAGTAGGAGTCAGAAAGTGTTTCCTCTGACACTTTCTTTTTCTTTTTGTTGTTGTTGTTTTGCCTGGGGCTTGAACTCTGGGTCTGGGTGCTATCCTGGAGCTCTTTTGCTCAAGGCTAGCATTTGACCACTTGAGCCACAGCTGTATTTTTGGCTTTTTCTGTGATTAATTAGAGATAAGAGTCTCAGGAACTTTCCTGCTCTGGCTAGATTTTAACCTTTGTCCTCAGATCTCAGTCTCCTGATTAAGATTATGGGTGTAATTGCTTACATTTTCTGAAAAATCAAGGATTTACATTATGTCTTCTTCAGCTATTTCATGAACTTTGTCTGCAAAAACACATGGATCTAGCGGGGGCTGGTGGCTCACACCTGTAATCCTAGCTACTCAAGAGGCTGAGACCTGAGGATGTGGTTGAAAGCCAGCTTGGGCAAGAAAGTCTGTGAAACTCTTATCTCCAATAAACCACCAGAAAACCAGAAATGGCGCTATAGCCCAAGTTGTAGAGTGCTTGCTTGCCTTGAGCTGAAGAGCTGAGGGACAGTGCTCAGGCCCAGAGTTCAAGAGTTCAAGACCCCCCCCCCCCCCCCCCCCCCCCCGCACTGACAAAAAAAACATGGATCTAGTTTTTTGTGGTTTTTTTTTTTTTGTCAGTTATGGAGCTTGAACTCTGGGCTTGGGTGCTGTCCCTCAGCTGTTCAGCTCAAGGCAAGCACTCTACAACTTGAGCCACAGTGCCACTTCTGGTTTTCTGGTGGTTTATTGGAGATAAGAGTCTCACGAACTTTCCTGCCTGGGCTGGCTTTGAACTGCGTTCCTCAGATCTCGGATTCCTGAGTTGCTAGGATTTCAGGGGTGAGCCACCGTGCCCGACTCTCAGCAAATTTTTAATTAATAATTTAAGTTCTTGGTATAGGTCTATTGATATTTTCTATTTTTTTCTTTTGAGGCCATCTTTTTTTTTTTGAATTAGGATCCTATTTCTCTCTAGGAATTTCTTGTAGGAGTTTTTCCATGTTAATGTTTGATTTGTTGATGCAATATAACATTTGTTTTCTGCATAATTTTCCTTTATGGTCCTTTTAATTGCCACAGATAATGATACCTATACTTGCTTCCTGATTTTGGTAGTGTATATTTTTAAAGAACTAGCATTTATCTTTATTGCTTCTAATTACTGTTGACCTGTAACTAAGCAGCCTTCCCCCCCCCCCCCATTTTTTTTTTAAATAGATACTGTGTACCCTAGGCTGGCCTTGAACTCACAATCCTCCTGCTTCAACCTTCTGAATGCAGGAATTGCATTCAGAAGCTACCACAGTACCTTTCTGCTCCCAAATGTTATATTTTTGCCATCCTGTCTCACTAAAACATGACAAAACAAAACAACATCAACAAAAATAATTTTAGCTCTGGGATTTCATCTATATGTTAATCTACCAAAAGAAAATTCCTTGGCTTCAAATTCCTATGTTCATTGTTGCAAAGATATTTGTAATCACCTGATTAAATGGAGTGGAATCTACACAGGGCACCTGGGTTTTGGGATATGTAACAGATAGTATTTCCATTTGGAGAATAACTCTAAATCCTTTTATTAAAATTTATTAAAATATACTTTTTCTTTCCAGGGAGAAGTTGCTGAAGTTGTATTTGTAGGTGCAAACCCAAAGAATTCAGCGGAGAACAGGGTAATCATCAGTAACCAGCTTCCTTTTAATGTACTTAAATATCTCTTTAGAAATGAACAACATAAGGACAAACTGTGCCATCTTGTCTTCCATCTTGTTGTAAATGTGGAATTGAGCCTGTGTGAAAGCACACAGAAAATACCTAACTTGCTCTCTTTAGGATCATTTCTATCACAATTTATATAGGCCCTGGGTTTTGGATTGGCCACACACACCCAGACTGATGCCTGTGGCATGGCTTCTGGCCCTTGTGCTTTATTTTGTATTGGTCTTTTCCCCATTCTTTACTACTGGCACCAGCAAGGTGCTTAATTTTATTAATTAATTTTGTTAATGCATCAGCAGGGTGTATTTATCTTGTGTCTGATGTAAAATCAGTATAGAAATGCATAAAATAGAATGTGAATTGAACCTATTTCCCTACATTATACTTTTGAAAGGAAATTATATTACTAGTTTGTTGCATAGCATTTATATAATATGATTATTTTAAAAACAAATTGAAGTAGTTTTAGTATTCTGTAATTCCTTAAAATGTAATTCCTTACATATTATACAAGGAATAACTAGACATGCTGTAATTGTTAAACTTTAAACAAACTGCGTGTGGTGGCAAACAATATAATCCCAGTACTCTGGAGACAAAGGTATGAAAGCGGTGAACTAAAGGTGTTCCTACACTACATAGTAAGATCCTGTCTTAAAAAAAGAAAAAAACCCAAGAAACAAAACTTGAACAGCCAAAACCAGAAGCAGAAATAAAATATGGACATTTATAGAGGAAGAAGAATGTACATATGAAGGTAAAGTCTAGGTCATATATATACACATATATATGTGTATATGTAGATCATATATATACATATATATTTTATTGAGACTGAGGCTGTATTCACTCCAGTGATGAACATTCTTCTCATGGTCCATAGTCATTTGTAGCTCCAAATTCCTTCCTTCCTCTAAATGAACCTTCCCAATCCTGCTAATTAAAGTGCCATTATTGCCATGATAACAATTGCAACGTGAAAGCATCAAATATGAGATTGGGTGAGCATTTCTAAGAAGTTTATTGGATTTGGTATAAAACTCTTTATTTCTAGCAACCATCTTATTTTTATCATTACTAGTCATTGATTGTTAGGGTAATAGTTTTTTTTCTCAGTGGTTGAGTTTGAACACAGATCCTGGGCACTGTCCCTGAGCTTTTTATGCTCAAGGCTAATGCTCTACCTCTTTGAGCTGCAGCTCTACTTTTGGTTTTCTGGCAGGTAGTTAATTGGAGATACAAGTCTCATATATAGGATAATTTTTTATGTTCATACCAGATTCATGTGAATCTTATTAATCTTCACTACTACCTAGTTTCCACTTCAATAAGTGGAAATGACTTTATAAATGAGTAAACAGAGTCCTATAAAGATTAATTATAATAAGCAATTATGCATCTGGAAAGAGATTTTATGGTAAGAAAGTGAGAGAAGGCTAGTCATGTGTTTAGTTCCTCATGTTTGGTAGCATTGGCTTGATCTGTATTCTATAATCAATCATCAGGATCCACTCTACCTTTTACCTTATCTAATGCTTTCCCAATGCCATTGTGCCCTAAAGGTTCAGAAACAGGTCTCTTTACAAGTAACTATGTTATGAAAACCATCTTATCAGATATAACTTCTAATTGGATATAACAAGTTGAATAATTAGATAATAAGTTTAAATAATTACATTGCTCAACTGTAAACAAATCATTTTTCAACAGCGGGTTATCTGAATGAACACAAATGGCAGATGGTGACAGATACAGTTGAGTTAGTTATAAGCCCTATCTTTATGGGCTACTTTGTGAAGGTTTAGGGGGAAATGGGAGATTTATGATCTTTGTATTTATTACCTTGTCATATTATTCAAATATGGGCTAATTTGAAGCTAAATTCTTAGACAAGAATAAATTGTCCTATTATAGCTATCTTCCGATGAGGAAATAAAATCTACTTATGATATGTTTCTGGAAATCCATTATGACAAAGAATAGAGGCTGTCTTTAGCTCCTCAGGACACAGAAGATTTAGGTATTCTTTTCAATTCCCTCACTCAGAGTAACTATAATTGTGTGGAGGTGGAAAGATGAGGAAACTCCCATTTTCCCTCCTAAATCATGAGGTGACTACAGATGGTCTTAGAATTAATAAAACTTCCCTGAAAAGGCTTGACTTAACACCTTTTGAAATCTCAAGTTTGATTCCCAGTTCCTTCTCAGCTCTAAATTTTACAATTTAGTATCAGCTCCCTAATTATGCTCCTTTCAAATTTCTGAAAAGGTCATGGTTTTTTTACAGAAGTTGAGATTCTGAAGCTATCACATAGACTGTTAAGATTAAACACCTAAGCATTTACAATAAATTTGAATGTGTGTTGTTAAATTAGTGTGCGGTTAACAAGGAGCATTCGTATAGACACAGCAGTTGCGTCTGTGCAGTCTGATCAGCTACATGACTTGTATTTTAGACCCATGAGACCTTTCTCACTGTGGAGAAATATGAAGACACTACTTCAACCTGGCACATACTGTATAATGACGCCTCCTGGGAGACACGGTGAGCACCTCTATTGAATATTTTGTCTTTCTAGTTTTGAAAACTGTTGTTTTGGTAATGCATGAAGGACAAATGAGAAGACTGGCTCAAGAAATCATTTTAATGATATTCTGTTTTCAATGTGGACATATCTTAATTGATTTAATAGACTTCTTTTTGAATGCTATTTTTTTTCTACAAAACAATATGCTATGTGTCTCCATGAGGTTAGGTGTTAATTGGGGTGAAGACATTTGCTGTTTTTTTTTTTTTCCTTATGGCTACAGTTATTTTCCTGGAAATCTGACTAGCCTTCTTGCAAATTGGTTGAAAGGGGTATTGGCTGAAGTTGCTGAGCTGTCTCTGTGGAGCTCATCATTTCTACTGGGAAAATAATGAGTCTGTTCCCAACCTTTAGAACATGTTTGTACATGGCCAACGTTTCTTCTTTTGAGATAGATATTGGAACACAATAGAAACAAACCAGGGGTGTAATAACCTCATGAGTTTACTCAGAAATATATCTCAGTGCCTTTGTTCCCACACTTTTCAGCTGAATGGATATTTTGAAGATTTTGACAATAGGTCTGTTATAAGGAAGTATTTATATTCTTGTCTGTAAATTTCACACCACAAGAAAGTGGTATGGAAGTAAGTAGAGTTTTTCTTTAAAAAGCAATTTGTATCTATCTCATGTTTTCTCAATCCCAGTGGTTTAGATCATTAACTGCAAACAGGGATTTGAGTCTTTCATTGAAGACTTGAGTCTTCCATTGGTTAATATATAAGATATAAGCATAATTTCTCCCCCTTTGGTCTTTAAGGCTTTAGATTACAGATGTTTTATTTATTTTTCAATATATATTTTTATTGTAAAGATACTGTACAGAAGGGCTACAGTTACATGAGTAAGATGAGTACATTTCCTATAGAGCATTGTTACCCCCTCCTTTGTTTTTCCTCTACCATCCCTTCCCTCCCAACCTCCCCACCTCCTCTCTTACCCTAAGTTGTAAAGCTCCTTTTCAAAATAGTGTCTTTTAGATCTCATTGTTACAATGGGTTGAGCTGTAACCTTATTTCAGCTATTTGTTATTTCTCTTGCCCTCCCCAAATTAGAAAAATGTATATACAGGGTGCAGGCACTAGAATCAAATACAGTGAAAACAGAGGTTATACCATGGGGGAAGAACATACAAGAGAATAAAAAAAAATCATATAGTGCATTGAAAGTACATTAAAAAGAACAGCAAGAAAGACAAACCTCTTGTCCCTATCTTGGGGTTCATTTTGCATAGCATCTAATATGGTCATATGTACATAGCTTTTGACCTCTTCTGCTTGTCCTAGACATAAACTAATTATTGCAGATAAGGGAAACCATGGGACCTATGTTTCTTTGGGCCCGGCTTACTTCACTTAATATAATTTTTTCCAAGTCTTTACATTTCCTAACAAATGGGACAATGTCATTCTCTCTGATGCAGGAATAGAATACATACATATCTCTATCTATCTATCTATCTATCTGTCTGTCTGTCTGTCTGTCTGTCTGTCTGTCTGTCTGTCTGTCTGTCTATCTATCTATCTATCACATTTTCTTGATCCATTCATCTACTCAGGGACGTCTGGGTTGGTTCCATATCTTAGCTAAGGTGAATAATGCTGCAATAAACATAGTTGTGCTGGTAGCTTCAGTATGGCCTTGTTTGTGATCATTTGGGTAAATGCCTAAAAGTAGGATTGCGGTGTGTCATAGGGGAGCTCTATGCGGAGTCTTTTGAGGAACCTCCATACTGCTTTCCAAAGTGGTTGAACAAGTTTACACTTCTACCAACAATGCAGTAGGGTTCCCTTTTGGCCACATCCCCTCCAGCATCTGTTGTTGTTAGAGTTCTTGATTACAGTCATTCTAACTGGAGTGAGGTGGAATCTCAATGTTGTTTTGATTTGCATTTCTTTTATGGCTAGAGAGGTTGAGCATTTCTTCATGTGTCTATTGGCCATCCTTCTTTCCTCTTCAGAGACATTTCTCTTTAAGTCTTTAGCCCACTTATTTATTGGGCAGTTGTTTCTTTGAGGATTTGTTGTTGGGGGATTTAATTTTTGAGTTCTACATATATCTTAGATATGAGATCATTGTCCATTGTATGGCTAGTGAAGATCTTCTCCCAATCTCTGGGCTTTCTATTGATATTGCTAACTAAGTCCTGTGTCATGTAGAAGTTCTGCAGCTTCATGCAATCCCATTTGTCCAACTTTTCTTTGATTGGTTGTGTTTCTGGGTTTTTATTAGGAAAATTTCGGCCTGTGCCAAGGATCCCTAGAATTTCTCCTATTCCTTCCTGTAATCTTTTAAGGTTGTCTGCTTTGACTTCGAGGTCTTTGATCCATTTGAAGTTGATTCTTCTGCAGGGTGATAGATAAGGATCTAGCTTTAGTTTTCTACAGGTGAATAACCAATTTTGCCAGCACCATTTACTGAAGAGGCTGTCTTTCTTCCATTCTATTTTTTTAGTTCCCTTATCGAAGATTAGGTAGCTATAGGTCTGGAGATTCATTTCTGGGTCTTCAGTTTTATTCCATTGGTCCTGAGGTCTGTTCTTGTGCCAGTACCAAGCTGTTTTGATTACTATGGTTTTGTAGTAGAGTTTGAAATTTGGTAATGATATTCCTGCAGCACAGTTCTTTCTGTTAAGGATCGTTTTTGCTATTAGGGGTCTTTTATTGTTCCATATGAATTTTTGGATTGCCTCTTCTATTTCCTTGAAGAATGAGGTTGGAATATTGATAGGCATCGCATGGAATTTGTAGATAGCCTTGGGAAGTATTGCCATTTTCACAATGTTGATCCTTCCAATCCAGGAGCATGGGAGTTTTTGCTACTTTCTAAGTTCTATTTTGATTTCCTTTTTCAGTTTTTTAAAGTTTTCATCATAGAGGTCCTTTAATTTTTTGGTTAAGTTAATTCCTAGGTATTTTATTTTTTGTAGGGCTATTACGAATGGAGTTGCTTTCCTAATTTCAGCTAGGCTTCTCATTGTTGGCGTACAGAAAACCATTCATTTTGGGGATTAATTTTATACCCTGCTACTTTGTCAAAGTTTCAGATCAGCTTGAGTAACTTGGTAGTGAGTCTATGGGGTTCTTTAAATACAAGATCATGTCATCTGCAAAGAGGGAGAGTTTTACTTCATTTTTCTCTGTTTGGATCCCCTTTATGTTTGCATCTTGTCTTATTGCTCTAGCTAGGCATTCTAATACTAAATTGAAGCAAAATGGAGAGAATGGACATCCTTGTCTCATTCCTGAATTTAGAGGAAATAGATTTAGCTTTTTGCCATTAAGTAGAATGCTGGCTGTAGGTTTGTCATACACTGCCTTTATTATACTGAATGTTCCATGGATTCCTAATTTTTCCAGAGCTTTCATCATAAAGGGGTGTTGGATCTTGTCAAATGCTTTTACTACATCTATTGAGATAACCATGTGGTTCTTATCCTTGCTCTTGTTGATGTGATGAATTATAGTAATTGCCTTGCATATATTGAACAACCTTTGCATCCCTGAAATGAATCCTGTATGATCATAGTGTATGATTTTTTTGATGAGTCATTGAAGTCGATTGGCCAAAATTTTGTTGAGAAGTTTTACATCGATGTTCATAAAAAAAATGGGCCTATAATTCTTTCTTTGATGAATCCCTGCATGGTTTTGGTGTGCGAGTTATGATGGCTTCATATTAAGAGTTTGGTAGTGAACTCTCACTTTCAATTTCACTGAAGAGTTGGAGGAATATTGGTGTGAATTCTGCTTTGAAGGCCTTGTAGAATTCAGCTGTAAATCCATCTGTCCTGGGTGGAAGGTCTCTTATTGCTATTTTCTATTTTGATGCTTGATATGGGTTAACTGTCAAGTTGGTTTAAATCATCTTGGTTTAGTTTGGGCATGTCAATATTTGCTAGAAATTTGTCCATTTTTTCCAGATTCTCAAACTTATTAGTATAAAGGTTTGAGAAGTTTTCCCTTATAATGTTCTGAATCTTGTTTTTTTTTCCCTGTGATGTTTCCATTCTCATCTCTGAGTTTGTTTGAGTGTGTTCTGTTGTTTTTCTGATAAGATTTGCTAAGGGTCTGTCAATTTTGTTAATTTTTTCGAAGAACCAACTTTTTGTTGTTGTTGTTTTTTTTTTGGATTCAAATTCATTTAATTATGATTTAATTTTAATTATTTGTTTGCATCTGCTAGATTGGAGTTTTGCTTGTAGCTCTTTTTCAAGGAGCTTCAGTACCTTAAATTGTTTGTTTCAGATCTCTCCATTTGTTGATGTAGGAACTCAGAGCTATTAAGTTACCTCTGAGTACTACCTTTGCTGTGTCCCAAAGGAGCTGGCAATTTGTGTGTTCATTTGTGTTAAATATCAGGAACATTTTAACTTCTGTTCTAATCTCTTCAATGACCCACTGTGGTTCAACAATATGTTGTTCAGCCTCCATGTGTTACAGGATTGTCTTTGGTGGCTTTTGGTGTTGAATTCTAATTTTATTCTCTCATGGTCTGAGAGGATACAGGGCATAATTTCAATGTTTCTGAATTTAGACAAATTTTCCTTGTGACCTATAATGTGATCTATTTTGGAGAATGTTCCATATGCTGTTGAGAAGAATGTATAGTGTGATGCTGCTGGGTGAAATATTTGGTAGATGTCTGTTAAGTCTAGTTGATCTATGCAGTTGTTTAGATCTGAGGTTTCTCTGTTGTTTTTTTTTTTGTAACATTGGGGGGGCTAGTGGTGTGTTAAGGTTCCCCAAAATTAACGTTTTTGTATCTGTGTGAGATTTTAGGGAAAAATAGTGTTTCTTGGATAAATTTGGATGATCTGTTATTTGATGAATGCTTATTTAGAATTGTAATATCCTCTGAAGGAGAGATCCTTTAATTAGTATGTAATTACCTTCTTTACCTCTTCTTGCTAATTTTAATTTGAAGTCTATTTTATCTGATATTAGGATTGCAACTCTTGCCTGTTTATGGGGGCTATTTGCTTTGTAGATTTTATTCCAGCCTGTCACTTACTTTCATAACATGATTGTTTTTGTGGGCAAGTCGTGTCTCTTGAAGGCATCAGCTAGAAGGATCTTGCTTTGTGATCCATCTAGACAGTCTATGTTGCTTAATTGGAGAGTTAAGTCCATTAATATTGTGAATTAAGACTGAGAGGTGTTTAGTAGTTCCTGCCATGTTATCTACCTTCTTGGGGACTATGCCAACTGAATTCTTCCTGTGATTCTTGGAGTCTCTGTTTGGGGGCTGTTTCTTGGTCTTTATTTCCCTCTTATTGGTTGTCTATATGCAGGACATTTTAGATATCTTTGGTAGTGCTGGTTTGATAGAGATATATTGTTTCAATTTTTCTTTGCTGAAGGTTTTATTTGACCTTCTGTTATGAAGGAGAGTTTAGCTGGGTATAGTATTCTTGGTTGATAGTTGTTTGTCTTTAGGGCATGGCATACATCATTCCAGGCTCTTCTTGCTTTAATTGTCTCTGCTGAGAAATCTGAATTTATTCTGATTGGTTTCCCTTTATACGTGATTGATCTTTTCTCCCTGACAGCTTTAAGGATCCTTTCCTTGGTCTGAATTGATCCTGTGCAGATTACACTGTGGGATATCCTGTTCTGGTCTGATCTATTTGGGATTCTAAAGGCTTCTTGCACTTGAATGAGCCTATCTTTTTGCATGTTTGGGAAGTTCTCTGCTAGGATCCTGTTAAATAAATCTCCTAGGTTTTTAACTTCTGTCACTAGGCCCTCCTCTGCACCCATTAACCTTATATTAGGCCTTCTGATAGTGTCTTATAAATGTTGAATAAATCTATTATATTTCTTGGTTTTGTGTTGAATATTTGTCTGTTCTTTGTCTATAATGTCAAGGCTGTCTTCAATCCCAGAGGTTCGATCTTTTGCATGGTCTAACCTACTTTCAAGACTTTCTACTTTTTTAAATTACCTTTCCTTCTAATCCGGTTTTATTTTTAAAACAAGAAAACATATTTATTGTAACTAGTGATACTGATAATAAAAAGAATGCTTTATTTTCAAAAGCTAAAATCCATCATGTTATATTTACATCTCTGCCTGCTCATTAACAATAGTCTCATCAAATATTTATGGAGAGCACTAAGCTAATCATGGAGGAGCAGAGAATGTTGAGCATTTGCTCTGAGATTTACATGCTCAAGAGATTTACTTTTGATATAACTGAAATATCAGCTAGTGGATCCAACATGTCTCACTTTGTCGCAAAGATCATGTGGGCTCCCTACTCTGGTCTTCAGGGAGCAGATCACTGCCCAGCTTGATCTAACTTCATGTGTTTCCTTTATCTCAAACACTTTCCCACAGCTTACTATGCCCTGTCCTTGCAAACCTGCTTTATGTTCTTTGGCTATATTGTGCTTTCTCCTGTTGTGGACATTGGTGTGTGTGTGTGTGTGTGTGTGTGTGTGTGTGTGTGTGCGCGCGCATGTGTACTTTCTTTCTTGCCAGTTATGCTCTTCCTCCACATCTCTGTGTAGCTTTGGTGTAAATGATATCTTCTCAGGGGAGTGTCTGTCATGTTTTCTCCATTGCATTTAACCCTTTTACTTAAAAAATGTGTTTTTCTGTTTTACTATCATTGCCTTCATTTGTATACTCAAGAGAATATGTTTTATGAAACCATCTTTCTCTTGCTCATTATTGTGTCATACTCAGTTGGTAATAATCTTCCCCTTTTGTTTATATGTATGTGCCAGTGTGAGGCTTAAACTCAGGGCCTCACACTCTGCCTTGACTTTTCTTGCCCAATGCTAGACCTTTACCACATGAGCCATAGCTCCACAGTCAACTTTTTGGTGGTTAATCAGAGATAAGCATCTCATGGACTCTTCTGCCCAGGCCAGCTTCCAATTGTAGTTCTTAGGATTATAGACATGAACCACCAGCACTTGCCTAGTCCTTTTGGAATAGATCTGGCACATCTGTACACTAATTACGCATTTTTAACTAATGAATGAAGATGGGAAGAGAAGTGCTGACTGGCGCAGAGTTTGATAAGTGTGAAAAGGGATTCTACAGCCATTCAGAACAGGAGTCATTCTTTTCTAGATGTGGATTTTTTTTTCATCTGTTGGGCCTGAACTCTGGACCTGGGCACCATCCCTCAGCCCTTCAGCTCAAGGTTGGTGCTCTACCACTTGAGGCACAGCACCACTTCCAGTTTTTTCTGCTTATGTGGTGCTAAGGAATCTATTCTAGTGCCTCATACATGCAAGGCAAGCACTCTACCATTGAGCCACCTGCCCATCCCTAGTTGGGGATTTTTTTTAGTATATTTAAATAATTGTAGAAAGGAAGAACTCCTTTTGTTCTGCACATCAAGTAAGGGTTTATGGGATAAATTGAGTTATGTAGTTTGAAAAGTAGAATAAATAAAGACATTTTTACAAATGACTGTTCTTGGTCAAAGTTCTCCTAATAAGCAGTAAGTATTTATGTCTGTTGTTTGTTGCTATATACTGTCAAAGTGTCTAGAATAATGCCTTGCTCATTGTAAACTCCCTTTGAATCTTCATTGAATTAATAATCACTCATTCTAAATTGTTAAATTATATTTTGCTTATTTGTTTGTTTTCTACCAACAGGTTTTACTGGCACAAGGGATTATTTGGTCAGAGTAATGCAACGATAGAATGGCATATTCCAATTACTGCTCAACCTGGAATCTATAGAATAAGATACTTTGGACACATCCGAAAGCTGGAAATTCTGAAGCCTGAAGTCCTACTTGCATTTGAAGGCACTTCTCCTTCTTTTGAAGTCATAATTACTTAATGAAAAGTTGACAGATATTTGAAGAACAGCTTTATTCTGTACATCCTAGAACTATTCCACATGAATGTGAACTCCATTTTGACTTCTATAATTGCCTCTGCTTGGGGACAAATAGTTTACTGCTAATGGGACAAGTGTGTGTGTGTGTGTGTGTGTGTGTGTGTGTGTGTGTGTGTGTGTGTATGTTCTGAGAGAGAGGGGCAGAGAGAGAGAGAGAGAGAGGTCCCATTACTTTCTCCAGCAGCCATGCACCATGTTCTACAGCCTAAAGCATGATTTCTTTTGAGGCCTTACAAGTCCCTTCATTCTGAAATCTGTGAAATGTTAGTGAGAATGTTTAAAGATGTGTGAGCAGTGTTAGTGTTTGAACTATTTATTTATAGAATTATTGAATGTTAGCACTAGAGATGATCGAGGAACTTTCCTTGATTAATCTTGGATTGTACAGATGGGAAACAATGAAGTTGTATGGACTTAACATTACAATAAGGTTTTAGAACATTTCTCCCAAATGCATTTTAACAATATGGCATAATCATATCATAAAAGTATGAGCTCAATTAGAGAAATGCAAAAACTAGCATGACATTTTTTTGAGCATTCAGATTAACACAGCCCTTCAAAGCAGTCACTCTGGAGTTAATATTGCCTAGTTTAGAGTAGTTGTTGATGCTCGAATCATTTCTGGAATTGCCTTCAGAGCCCAGTTTTGAAGAAATCAATCTTGCAAATATTTGATTATGCCTTGTATTTCTCTAAGTGTCCTTCTCTCACTAGACTGTGTCTCATATTTCTAAGACATACTCTATTTTTTTCTTTACTATTTTTGCCAATCAAATTTACCTTCATCCACAAAGAATATCATTAATGTAGATTTAAAAATAAATTGTTATTGGTTGGGAAGGCAGTCCTTAAGAGGAATCCTAAATTCATGCATCATTGTTTTTTTATTCAATCCGCAGCTTATCAGTCATGCACCGATCCATTCATGGATAGTATATTAATAAAGTCGTGTCAATCATTGTGCTTGTTTCTAGTCTTGACAATTAGTGAGATCATATTTGAACTGACAGTAACCACTGACTATTTTGCCTATTCAACTTGATACATTTATTCTAGAGAAACATTACATGTTACTGACGTTCAAGTCTCATACTGTATACCTTCTATACAGAAGAAAGTAGCTCCAGACAGTTGGCTAAATACTATTTTGAAGGATATTTGCAAATTGTGAAGTGTCCCAAGAATGAGATATGACAAGTCAACATCAACTGCCTGAAAATAAATTGCATTTGAAATTACTGAGTTAGCTATGAGCTCCCAGACTGCAAAATAAATTCCCAAACCCCAATCCATACTTTTGCATGTGTATGAAAGCTTATAGCATTTTAGGAGTAAAAAAATCAATGTCTATTTCAAAAATAAACTAAGGTTTGAAAAATAATGATTTGAATAATCATATTATGAATGTTCATTTATGTAATAATTTACCCATCTAAACATGAGCGATTGAATTTGAATGAACCTAAAATAGGTTTGGGTGAATCAGTCTTCTTGTCTGTCAAAGGGTGTTCCTAAGGAATTGAATTGCTGAGAGACTAGCTAATCAGGATTTCTAAAGTTTGTGATCACTTTTCTTAATGACAACATTGTAATTAGTATATACACTTAGGGGCCTAAAGGAACAGATGATTTTGAAAGCATTTGAGTTTATACAAATTATATGTTTAGTTATAATAAAGTTTAAAAGGGTATTCTTCATTTTTCATAAGAATTTATGATTTATTTACCATGGCCTCCATTTCTCCCACTGAAACGTCCTCTAGAATGAGTGCCTCTGGCAACAGTGTGAAGGTGGTCATTGTGTCACTAATAAACCTTATCGCCTCTGCCTTCCCAAAACCAGTACTCATAGCCTTAGAAAAACCACAGAAAGCTATTTTCTCATGAGTCATCATTTCTTCCAGCCTATGTAGCTCCAATTTTTTTTTTTGCAGTTTGTATAAATTAAAACAGGTCCCTGTGTTATAGATGCTGTAGATATCACCTGAGCATAAAAGACAGTACCCTAGAAAGTAACTGATTTGATCTAGTAGTCTAAAATCTGGTAGTCTAAAAACATGGATCCAGTTTTTGTCTATGTCTGCTTCTGGGAATGGATCATTGGAATAAATGATGTGGAGAAACCTCCTGAAAATGGAGAATGTGAAAAGTGGTGGGTTGGGTTTATGGGAGTAGTATTTTGGAAACAACTTCGTTTCTCGTGACGGTATCTTGTTTTATTTGTTGCACTTACCTACTTTGATTTTAAGGAAACTGTGACTTCTTAAGGAAAAAAAAACAAGAAACTGAATGATTCCTCTTCTGTGCCTATTATTTTTCATGAGTATTCTATAAAGTTGTTAACATTTAATAGAAGAGTTCAAAATAAATTAAGAAATAAGCTTGGGAAAATATTTTCTTTTTTTTTTTTTGTCGGTCGTGGGGCTTGAACTCTGGGCCTTGGCACTGTCCCTCAGCTCTTCAGCTCAAGGCGAGCACTCTACCACTTGAGCTACAGCACCACTTCCAGGGAAAATATTTTCTAATAAGAGGTAAGGTAGACAATGGAACACTTCAAAAATAAGATGAGGTATAAAAATTATATGTTACATATAAATTAGATTGAAAAGTGAGACCATGCCTCAGTAAATGACCAAACACTCCAACAAAATAGACCTGCTTCCTAAGTTTGTTCCTGGCCTCTGAAGGTCTACTGACAAAATATATTTGGCTGGCATTTTGGTGAACTGCTTACTTGAATTTCCTATGTGAGTAGCTAATTCTAAAATTATTTGTGTGTTACTTCTAAACGAAAAGACAAAGGATGAATTTACTTGTAAATATCATTTTCCAACCTCATATACTATTTTGCCAATACAAACAACTTCAGAATCCTTTGCTGATGTTAGTTCAGGGTTTTTATATATATCTAAATAGGTTCATCAGTACATGGATCCTATAACTAAAGGACCATAAAGGCTCCAGAGTTGATAAATACTTTTGTCAAATCAGCAGGATATACAAGCAACCCACAAATATCTGTACCCTTTCTACAGACTAAAAATGAGTAAACGGAAAGGAAAATTAAGAAAACAATCTCATTTGCAATAGCCTCAAGAAATACATGGGAATAAATATAACCAAGGAGGTAAAGGACATCTACAATGGAAACTATAAAACTCTGAAGAATGAAATTGAAGGAGACAACAGAGGTGGGAAAGATTTCCCATGCTCATGGGTTGGCAGAATTAATATCGTGAAAATGGCCAGTATTCCAAAGGAAATCCACCAATTCAATGCAATACCGTCAAAATCCCACTGTCATTCTTTGCAGAGGTAAAGAAATCAATCCGAAATTCACATGGATGTACAAAAAGCTCTGAATAGCCAAAACAATCCTGAACAGAAAAGCAATGCTGGAGGTGTCACAATTCAAGACTTCAAACTTTACTATAAATTCTAGGAAGAAAAAAACAGAATGTGAAATTGACAGAGACCCAGACTCTGTCCATTGTGTTTCTAGATGTGTTTTAGGATAATGAGCAATTTAGAAGTTAGGAGTAACAGGTCAACACTAGCAGATGCTGCTTGGACCAGGACTCTGGAAACACTTATAACCATATTCTCCAGTTGATTGTAGTTTTCCTCCAGACTTGGGTAAACCAAATGGACACAAAGTTGAGTATCCTTTCAACAGCAAAGTTGGAATGAGTGAAGTCAAGTAAGGGCACAACACATCCCCCAAATAACCAATGGACTAGGGTAAAGAGAAAAACATCCTAAAGTGCTACTTCAAGTCATTAATGTGGGTTATTTTATGTCAACAAGATGAGAAAGACATATGAAGAGGATAGGATAGATATTAAATGTTTTTCTAAAACTGTAATGGTGCTGTGTTGACTCATTGCCTGCTTTTCCTCCCATCCCCTCCTTCTCCTTTCCTTTCTATTCTTTTCTATGGTGAGTGATTGGGTTAGGAGGAGCTAATAAATGAGATAGTGGTTTGTTGCCTTCCAATTCAGAGGGCCTGTTAATTATGTTTGTTCTTTACTTTCCTGGATGATATGAATGTTCTATGGAAACTTAACTCTTCTATCATTGCTTACCTATCAGTGCCTTCCATCACTGGCAGCGATTTTTTTTTTTTAACACATTCTAAAGCTAATTTACTTTATTGGAATTCTCCCTGTCTTTCCTTTTGTTCTAATACAGGGGGCTTGTTATATAGACTAGGTTGGGCTTTCAACTATTGTTCCTCTGCCTCATCCCCTGAAATATTGGTACAGCTATGCCTAAGTCTTTTAATTTTTGAAGGCATTTTATTTTCTGTTGCTCAAGCAAGTTGTACCTTACCAATCACTTTTTAGCACAAATTTAGTGGTATGTCAGTCATATTCCTTTCACCCTCGCCCTCCTACTATTTCCTACACCCCAAAAGACCCCCCAGTTTAATTCATATCATCTTTTTATAGATTCTGCATATAAAAGAAAGCATGAAATACCTGTTAATTTCAATAGCTTATTTTGCTTGATATGGTGATTTCCAGTTCTATCCATTTTCCTGCAAACTATGTGAGTTCACTCTTCTTGGCTGAACAATGTTCTGCTGTGTATATATTTACCTCATTTTCTTTGCCCATTCACTATTTGATGGACAGCTAGTAGAATCCATAGTTTAGCTAATTGTGCATGGTGCAGTTATAAACATGAATGTGCAAGTATCTCTTGTGTGTGCTGACTTACATTCATTAGGGTATATGCACAGGAATGATATAGTAGGAGTATAAGGTAGTTCTGCTTTTATATTTGAAGAATCTCCATACCAATTTCCATTGTGAGTACACTACTTTTGGATTCTCATTCATAAGATATAAAAGTTCCTCATCTCATCCTCTATATCCTTGCCAATATTTGTCATTTTGTTGACAATAGCCATTCTGACTTTAATGAGATGTAATTTCAACATATTTTGATTTACATTTCCTGTATGGCTACGGATTACTTAGTGGCCCTTTGCACTTCTTTGGAGAACTGTCTGATTATTCATCCCATTTACTAATGTAATTGTTATTTTGGTGTTACTTTTATTCTTGGTATTAAACGTTATCTGATGAATAGCTTTTGATTGTTTCTCATTGTATGAGTTGTCTCTTGGTTTGGTTATATTTTTCCTTTGCTGTCTCATTGTTGATGCTTTTCTATAGAAAGCACCTCTGCTGGTAGAGAAAGGTTAGTCCTCTGCCAAGACCTTGATGTGTCTTTAAAATAAAAATTCTGCTTCAAAATACAAGGATACTCATTTCAAATTATGGTCACCTGTGATGGTGGGCTGGACAAGAAGATGGAACAAAATTAGGATCCTGTAAAAATCTCAGTGCTCACTCAGATGACCAATTTGTGTAGAGGAACTTAACAGAAACCACAACACTGGTACATGGGCCTTAATCCCTAAGGAGACCTGTAGTGAACCTGTCCTTAGGTTTGCATCAGTGTTTCTCAAACTTGATTGCTAACTAAATGAGCATGAAAAGGAACAAAAATGTCCTTATGGATCTCATATTCCACCATAGGATCTTTTTCTTAAAATATTGTTAAATACTTAGAATACAATTAGGTATAAATTTGCTTTACTTAAACTGTAAAACCAAAATCCAGAAAGCATCAAATAAAAGCATGCGTGATACTGTATTCTGAAATAAAATTGCCTCTTGTAAATTGTTAATTGTGCTACTGTCACAACTAGTCCTTGCTTAATTTTCTCTGCCTGTTCTATTTGAATGTTTATATTTGAGTAGGTACTGTAGTATTGGTTACATGTCACAGTATATCTATCACATGTAATTCCACCTCAACTTTTTTTTTCTCAGTAACTTATTACAGAGTGAAACCATTCTTCTAAACTTTGAGAAATAGCATAGGGTAGTGGTTACAAAGATGAACATGGGACTGAATCCCATCTATTGTCACTGAGGTGGGTAGAATTATTTTATCAGTAAGAAGAGAAACAATGTAATGGACTCAAGGAAATAGAGGTAATTATTACCTGTGAATCCTGGCCAACTTAATATGTTCTGTGCTTATGTCTCTAATAGAAGATAACTATCTCATAGTTGTAATGATTAAAGAAATATATATTCCTCACAATAAAAAATAAAAAAAGAAAAAAGAAAAAGAAAAAAAAAGATACATATTCCACATTTATCAGAATGCTTAACACATAGAATAGACTAAGTAATAGTCTGTAGTGTGGTTTTATAGTTTTCTTCAGTACTATAGTTTGAAGTTGACCTTGTGCATGCTACTCACATGCTCTACTACTCCAGCCCTTTTTCCTTTACCAATTTTTCAGTTAAAGTTTCATGTTTTTGCCCAAAGCCAGGCTAAGATCATGATTGTCCTACCTACAGCCTCCCTTGTAGTTGAGATGACAGGTATGCATCAATACATGTGGCTAGTGGACTGAGATGGGGGTTTTTACAAACTTTTCCCCCCTGGGATGATCTTGAACCATAACCCTCACATTCTCCTGAGTAGCTGTGACTAAAGGTTTCAGCCAGCACAGTTGGCCTTTTATGTAGCTCAGGCTTGCCTTGAATTTATGATTCTTCTGTCTCAGCTTTTTGAGTTCTAATATTTTAGGTATGTACAACCATGTGTAACTCATATATATATTTATACATAATCAAATATTTTTCTTTTTTCAAAATGCAAAATGTGATTTATATACTGATATAGAATAAATTAAATAGAAACTTAATTCTAATATAGTACTTGCAGGTCCCAATTTTCTTACATGTATGTAAAATTGTAAATGTTGCTTTTTTTAAAAAAAATTAAAATTGCTGAATGAACAGAGAGGTTTCAGTTACTTAGGTAATAAGTACATTTCTTTTTAAACACTGTTACCCTGTCCCTCATTTCCCCCCCCCCCCCGTCCCCCCCCCATAATCCTCCCTCCTCCCAAGTTGTGTAGTTCATTTCTAGCATAGTGTCAAGTGTCATTGTTGCATTAGTTCACGCTTTCTCCTGCTGTTTCTGTGATTTCCTTTCCCTTCCACAGATCAGATAAACATATACAAGATGATGGGTACAGAAAACTAAAATAAAGAGAAAAAAGGAAGTAACTGCGTACAGGACATAATAAGAACCTCTTTTTTCCAACTCTTGGAGGTTATGTTGATATACTTCATTATATATGGTCCTATGCACTTAGTAATTGGGCTATTGAGATTCCTTGTTAAGAATATCACAGGCATATTCTAGTTATTACGAAAGAGGAAAAACACTTAATCTACTTTTCTTTTGGTCTGGCTTACTTCACTTAATATAATTTTTTTCCAGGTCTTTCCATTTCCTTATGAAAGGGCAATGCCAATCTTTCTGATGGAAGCATAG